ACAAATCCTCGATGACATTATATTGTATTACGAATGAAAAATTGATTTCATTTGTCTCTATATAATGTCTATACTTTTGTTATTAGTATTAATATAACGTCTAAATATTTTTATATATAATATATAATTAAGAATTTCACCTGGAGAATTCCAATTATAATTTTCTTGGCCCATGCGAATTAATTGGTCCACTTTTTCAATTTCGTGCTTTACTAATTCAAATTCCACAGGTAAACTGTAATTTCTTATCCAATTGTACCTACCATTTGAACAAACGTATGCAGATTAAACTATTTCTCATCACTTAATGACGTATTTACTCACCATTGCACGAGCAAATTGAGATTGTAGGTAGTCTCAAAAAAATATTGCGTTCTGTAATACAGTTGAATTGCTTCCTCGGGTAGATCTGTTCTTTTCATAGTGATCATAAAGCGTATTTCTCGCAGTAGAGCAGTCAGTTCCGGATCGAAGTTTACTTCGAGTAGTTTGTTTTCGTGTATCGTTAACAAACTTTTTAACAAATGAACGTTGCTGATATCAATTACCTTATTGGCCCAATTCGTGAATATTTTATGCTCCATCGCGTCCATGAGCGACTTATGAAAACACAATGTGCTTTTATGAACACAATTCAAATATTGGACGAATACATTAGAAAATAGATTAGATAAATGCCTTAAAATTTATTTCAAATAATTATTTTTGAACGAACACATTGTATTATAAATATATATAGATAACAATAATTATAAGCGAGTAACAAGTGATACTTGATGTGTTCTATATTTCATAAAATTAAGTAGATATTACAATAAGTGTTACGGTATATTACAGAATGAGTATCCATATAAGCAAATATAAAAATATTAAAATTTTGACTAATTGTAAGTGAAATGAAACAACGAAATTCAACGTCACTTTTTCTTTGGGCTTTGTGAAATGTTACCTGCATTTGATCGTACTTTGGTTTGGTTTCACGTGCTATTCTGAGGTTTACCAAAGGATGGTCGACTAATTTCGCACATTGCATTGGATAGTCTATCCGTTGTCGTAATTGCGTCAACGTACATAATGCACCAGCGACATGCGGAAAATACTGATCGGTTTCAATCCATTCGTCCTCTTTATAATCTTTGAAGGTGTTGTCAAATACGATCTGGAAAAAGTAAATAGAGTCTGTCTAAAGGCCATCATCTATCATCTATGGCATATTATGTTTATTAATATTGTAGCGCACTTTAATATCATCGAAATGATCGTGAATTCTTTGAAGCAATCTCTCGTAATTGTGCCATAATTGTGCCATGATGATTGGTCGATTGGCCATCGAGCCTAGAATCCATATTACCTTAAATATGATTTCAGTATTATGACATTCAGAAAATGCTTGATCAAATATATTTGCCAGCTCTCTGTCAAATTCTTCCACCTACGGTAAAAAAGTCAACATTTTTTATATTGTGGCGATAATCTTATGTTGTGTGAAAAGCAATATTTATACACGATATGTTGCGATGCACGATTATTGCACTTACTTTTGCTAAAAAAGAAATAACATGATCTGTGAATCGTATCTCTTCTGGCATTAGAATATCGTATTCTAATTCGGAAAATTCATTGTAGATTTTAACAAATTTATCATGAATGTCATATATTTTGGAACACAATGTTTTCTTTTTTAAACTTGCAAATTCCATTCTTTCAAGCTTAAAATATTCTTGAGCGGTTTCAAATAACATCTGACAAATAATATATATAATTAATTATCTTTATTTATAGAATTATTTCAATTATTTTGTGTTTAAAATAATAACTATGTATGTTTTTACATTATATATAAAAATGCAAATTTTTATTGTTTCATATTCATTAAAATTTTTAAATTTTCCTGTATGTGAATATATACATTATATTTCAAAACTATTTAAAATTTTAGACTTTAATTAGCGCGCGAGATAACTTATTTACGCAAAAAAATTAATAAGAACAATAGACGCGAGTCCGAATAGTCCAATCATATAATAGCTTAATCAATTAATATTTATTTTTAAAATGAGATACGGACTTTGATCTCTTCCAAACGTTTTTGAAAATTTGTTATTCTTCCAAGCACCAATTCATCATCAAAATTCCATGGAATCAGTTCGGTCGGGTGCTTAAAGTAATTATCTAATTTACTTCGAAATGTTTCAAACGTTTCTGTATAATAGGTCAAAATATTTGTTACACTCATTAAATGTTTTAGACTGTCCTCGATATCAGCAGTGAATAAAGTACTCTGATCCAAATATTTGGCAGCCTGTAAAGCTTTTGATTAGTGATACAATACACATTTATATGTATGCTGAAGAGAAGAAGGTACATTTATATATACTCATTAATGTCTAATATTTTAATTAAAAATACATGATATTTGGGCACTAATGGCTTAGATAAATATTAAAGTACATTTGCACAATTTTTTAAAAACTATATTACAACAAAAAACTTCTAATCTTCTTTCAAAGTAAAGATGATTAAGATATATTTATTTTTCCATATATATATATATATATATATGTGTGTAAACACACACACACACACATATTACATATACATTCTCAAAAAATATAAATTAACTGTTGGTCGTCGTGAAGAGAATACTTTGATTACTTGAGTATCTCAATATATAGATACTTATTGCTTATTTTTTTCTTACGTACCTCGGTAATTAACAGATTAGATATTTCGGACAGTAGAGTGATTATTCGCGTTGGAGTGCAATAATATTTCGAATTTGACCATATCAGGCACACGCAGTGTAACAGTGGTTTCAATTTCGGCTGTATATCTTTGAATTCCATATTTTGCATATCTTCGAAGTGAGGTTCCAACGCTTTTAAGTAGGCGCATACGTCGCGTGCTTCGATCACCGCTTAAGATATGAGTAAAAAATTTTTTGAATATTACGTAATTTTGTTAGTATGTTGATTTTTGAACATTTATTTGAAAATAATCAGCAAATTAATCACTCTTTTTCTTTAGAATAATTCATTAGAATAATGTAGCGATATATTACAGTTAAAAAATGAAACGTCTAATCGACATAATTAATTAATACTCTTTGTAGTATATCGTTCGCGCTAACGCTAGCAAGATCTAACCAGCGATAACGTCCTTCAACAGAGCCTTGAAACACGGTGAATAAGGGCTCTTGGTTAATTCTAGAATAGACGCCATCTTTTTTACTCGTAGGTCTCTCATTTGGCTGTGAATAGATTCGACGTTTATAAGTCGTTGACGCCAGAAATCGATTTCTATAAATACATTGTTGATGGTTAACGCTTCTTCAATTCTCAATTTAATTAAATTTACAATTAGTTGGAAAACAGTGACTTGGAATAAAAAAAATATTAAATATATTTTTACTTTTCTTTTATGTCCTTTTGTGCATGAACATATAAAAATATACAAATTATATTATAATAAGTAATGTACACGCGCGCGCGCGCGCGCGTGTGTGTGTGTGTGTGTGTGTGTGTGAGTAAAATAAATTTCGTATGATGTTTAGAACGTCAAAAAAATTTGATTTTAATTTTGTGATTTAAATACCCGCGCTCGGTAGCAACTGGTTATCATTTCTTGGGCTTTCCTCGTTTAACGTATCACCGATTTGCGAACACCATTTCGTTATGATAGTTTCTATATTGGTATTTAAAGGAAGATCGACTTCGACACCTCCGCTCTGCTGCGCTTTCCATTCCGCCTCGAATATCTGCTCGATGCCCATTGGCATTGGCAGTAAGGTTTGTCCCATCATTTTACCTTTGACCTGAAAGACATTTTTCGTTGATACTTTCAGCGGCTGATATTTTTATTTCAACTGTTTTATAAACATTCAACTGTTTTATAAAGATAAAAAGAGAATGAAGAACAATAATATTTATTTGGAGAGCAATAATACCTGTTCCATGCATAGATATTATATCTTGTGTGTTATAAGTTAAAGAGTTAAACTTCTTATACCTGACATATCATGTTACGAAGATCGTAAACGTGCTTTTTCATGTCCTCGCCGATAACGCGCGGCCAGCCTTTGTGGTTCTTCGGATTCGATAATATTGGTACATAAGCCTAAAGAAGACAGAAGTTCGTGCATAAGGGGGAAGAAGGTGAGTTAGTCTCTTTTCTTTGGACGAGCGATATAAGCGATATTTAATTCGAATATGCAATCGCGCTACCTCTTCAACCAAGACGGATAGTTCTTCGATAGGTTTCGAAGCCATGTCACCGGGTATAATGACGTTCCTATAATTTTCTTTCGTGATCTCGACAGGATTCTTTTTTATAAAATACGATGCCTTTATCCAACCTGTCGGTGGTATCTTGAGAAATGGCACCAACACGCCAGCTGGATTTAGTTGTATTATCAGAATCATCTCCGACGATGTATTGAAGAATTTTATAACCGTGTCCTGACATTTCCATAATAGAAATAAAATAAAGTATCTGTTAAATGATTACTTATCTAAGAAAAATTAATTTTGGATGAATTGCTTTTACGCAAAGATAGAAAATTTCAATTTAGAAACCGAGCCAAGACAAATCTTCTATAGAATGAAAATATTGCATTTTGCCTTTTTATATATGCTTTTTTAAAATTATTTACATAAAAAAAACAGACTGCAAGGAAAATGACATAATTTGGACAGTATAAGTCACATGAAAACTCGTAGATTAAGGTTAAGATTTAGAGGAAAATATTACACCTTATATTCCTCGTTTGTTAACATCTTTATCCATTTGTCGAGTTTAATTTTTCTCGAAAGCACCAAATATTTATAAAGGAATTCAATACGCTCGTCGTCCTCCTTTTCCTCATCTTTCTTATCAGCCATGATTTTTTCCATTTACGAAAAAAATTCGTTAGCTTCAACGCTATTCAACTGAAGGGTTTGAACATTGCCGATTTTTGACAGAGTTTTTCTCGAAATAAGAAAGGGAAAGAAGAACAAGCGTGAATATTCATGTTTTATTGAAGCACGTATACATTCAGAATGACATTATTCGAGAGTAGAGTAACATGTATAAAAGTATAAAATTCGCAAAAGCGCATTGTAAGATAGGAATTGAAAGAATAAATGCTGCGTAGACCGAATACACGAATAGCTTCAGACTAGATTATTGTAATAACCATACGTAATAACAGCACAAGTCGTTTAGAGTATTTAAATATATCGCGTCACGTTACTCATGCTGACAATTAGTAGCTGGGTCACTGAACGGAGAGTCTCGAATCAAAATGATAAGATACGATCCATCTACCGTTCGTTAATCGTTTCCGGCCAGACTTCCTTCTCGATCCATTCCAAGAAAGAATATACCGCTGTGTAAACTCCCGGTATAGGGCCCCCGCAATTTTGCCCAAAAGCCGTGATTCCCACAATGCTGTGACTAGATCCGGTGAACATCAATAAGGGTCCGCCGCTATCTCCCTGACAGGCGTCTGCCCTTCTCGTAACATTGCTGTCCAATATGCACAGCATATTCTCGTCCAAACCGCGGGGTAACTTGCCGAAACCGTCAAACGATTTGGCGCACGATTCCCTGTCTACGAGACTGGAAAAGTTAAAGCATAATTTGAATTTAAAAGTCGTAATAGTAGAGCGTGTTGTCTCTTATATATATATATAATATATTATGTGAAAATATATTTGTAACAGGTATGCGCAAGAATGTATTTTGTCAATCGCCAAAATTTTGCAGGACTTGTTAACTTTGACTGCGTCATACAGATTGTATTTCTTTTCCCAATTTGTAAATAATTTCAGAAAGAGTTTCAATTTTATCATATTCCGAATGTAATAATGCTTATACCGGAAGATAAAATCGCAAAAATATTCAAATCAAAGTTAAATAAGAAATTCGATTTTTAGTAAAAGAATTTCAGTAAAAACACATATTTGATATTTCCCAAAGAGTTATTGCTTTAAAAAATGATGCTTCAATTGTATTCTCTCTTACTTGAGACCCGGGGTCTTCATCAATTTGGTACTGCCGTCCTCGTCGAAGCTGGTAGCGCCCCAGCCAATCACGATAAACGTTATGTTCGATTGTACATTCATGGAGTCTAAAGATTTCGTTTGGATACAGATCGGCCGTACGTTACTCGCCATGCGTACAGGCGTACTTAGTTTCAAAATAGCTACGTCGTTGTAATTCACGCTGCGCTTGTACTCCGGATGCGGTATTACGTTACTTATGGGAATTCGTTGTGCATCGTCCCCAACGCTCTTCAGATCTTCGCTGCCGATTCTCACCTGGGAGCAAAAAAAGATTTGTAATCTTTAAACGTTAGACAAAGTGTTTGACTCCACGAAGACAAACGCTCTCTCATTCATGTAACGATAAATCGGTGAATCGACCGTATTGAAAAATAGATAATGGAGTGATAAATAAAACTTATAATTTATCGTTTATCTATATTCAACTTAATTTCAACTTGAGTGTCTTAGTAGTCTTTTGCTCGAATCGATCTGACGCAGAATATTTGGATGGTCAGTGAATCGCGACCTTGAACTTGGAGCTCGCTGTTACTTGCCTCTATCGGTACTTTCTCCTGTATATTACTGACGCAGTGAGCAGCAGTCAGTACGTATTGCGAAGAAATTAACGTGCCACCACAGTTGTACTTGATAGCTTCCGAATCGTCGTCGTCTTCGTCCTTGTCTTCGTTCTCATATCCCAGAGCAACCATGTATGGGAATTCCCCGGCCTCGCTTTGCGTGCCGCCGTATATGTTAAACTGCACCTGAGCCTTAACGGCCTTAACCGTGTCCCTTTTCGCCTTACCGTTGGACTCGATCTCATTTTCATATTGGCGACATGCTAAAAGAAATTCAGGCGCGAATGTAAAGTTCATCTTTTGCATTCTACAGGATCATACAATCGATCGACTGGTTAACGCGGAACCCGGACTTGTCCGAAGTCGGATCTACGGCCGTAACCGTGACCGTAAAGCCATGACGATTATTACATCACCATGCGCATCTCCACCTCAAGGCCATTCATTATTTAAACGAGATTCTCGGAAACGATCATGCAACGCGCGCGTGTTAACGACATATATTAAAAACAGTGATAAACACGATAAACATTAAAACAACTTTGTCGCTGACATTTATACGAATGCGTTTGTATAAATAACATTTTGGGAACATATAATATATTATTGCTACATAATAACAAAGCGTTAAGCATAGGTATATGGACTTTGTCGTAATATTTCGTCTTCTTAAAAGCACGGATTTTGTCTATTTCGTGGACTATTTCGTCTTCTTTTAGATGAAGAAAAGAAGAGCCATTATCAAAAATGATAGCAATTATAAGTTGAAAAACCTGTTTTTGAATAAAGAATGTTAGTCGACAACGTAGATGCGGAATGTAATCACTTGTCGTCGATCGGCTTTTTCATCGCTTGACTCCTTTACTTTAGTATTTCGAACTAAAAAAACATCTCACGGTCGAGTGGCACAGTAATTTGTAAAGCCAAATGATTGATTTTAGTTTACGAAAACGCGTAAATGTAAAAGTTGATCAGTTGTGACATTATAAAAAACGAGTTAATTTAAGTGAAATTTAAAAGAATAATTAATAACGCGTAACTCAATCAGCACGAAATCGCGCTGCATCTAACAATAAGAAATTAAATTTCATTGCAATTATTTTTCTATTTTTGGATCATCATTGAAATGGCTGTTGTATTTAAAAAAAAAGAAAGAAAGAAAGAAACATTTCATTGACCAAAATGATATTATACATACCTAGCTCTGCTGGTCGAAGTCCTATTTTGTCCGTAATATTGAACTGACAACAAACGATTTCCGTGAAATCCTGGAAGCCGCAACGACCCATCGAATCCGAGCTTCTTCTACCTTCTTTCACCTCTTGCAGTCTGGATGGACATTCGTGTATCTTTTTGCATACACCTGCCTCGCCGTCCTCCGTCTTGCAGTAACTGCCTTCTGCATCGAACAAAACGAGGTTACTTCAATTTTAGATTATATTTTGCTCGTATTGTTTCGCAAAGAATCGCAGGGGAAGCCCGCGAGGAAAAGTCTAGTTCAGGTCGTTGAAACTAATCTATGTATGACCCGCACTTTTACTCATGCGTTAACGACACTTTGACCTATAACGTTTATTTTTTCTCGTGAGATTACACGCGATTTTTCAATGATAGCGTTCATTCGCGCAGTACAGAATAATGTTTGTCTAAACTAGAAGGAGAATAAAAACAGAGAGAGTATATACTTCTCTCTCTCTCTCTCTCTCTCTCTCATCATATAGAAATCTAGCTCCCTTTACCCCATTAAATTATTATTTAGTTAAACAAGTTAATCTCTGAAATTCAGATTTAAATTTTACTTCGAAAAAATATGAAATTATATATTGAAAGATAATATTTAATACATATAATAATATTTATAATCTTTTTAAACTACGAACAAATTTCATACGATTTAATGAAAATACTTTTCTCATGGGCAATCATAGTTACGTATAACTCGATATCAATAGACCAACAACATAATATTGAAAAATTACGGATATGCGACAACTTTTGTTTGAATTAATTACATATGCAAATATTGCGTCACTATGCGATACTAGTAGTGGTAAAAGCGTCACCGTATTCGGTAGCCGCGGGGAAAAACAGTCACGTCACATGTTTAATCGCAAACGTTGTCCGCGATTTTAATCGTAATATTAATTGGAATGAGGAAATATTTTAAAAATTTTTGTAGAATAACATAAAATGTAAACATAAATTCTCATAAATTAATTGTATCCTATGACAAAATTAAGATTGAATTAATGAATGACGTCTTTGACATGTATTATATTAGAAAGCAAAGCAAAGAAAAACTGTCGATAAGTACTGAATGTATAAAAACTAAATTAATATCCAATTTGATATTTCGGTATTGCGCATATCAATGTTATAATCGGAAAGTCTGTGTTATCATATAACGTCGGGATTGTCAGGAATGAATCATACCATTTTCATGATAAAGAATGAGTTAAGGATAAAGTAAATAAGCGTGTGTATAATTGCGATAACGATTCACCCTGAGCTCTGTTTTGTGATGTTTTATCAGTTATCTAGTCATAACTTCGGAAGCAGATCAATAGCAGTTATATATTTTGTCAATCAAAGATCGCTTCAATCGGATTGTTCATAGTACTTTTTATAATGCATTAAAAGCGCAACTATTAAATTTATCTGTTAACCATAAAACTCATGAGTTGTTTTTATCACATTTTAAATAATACCGTAATAATACCGTAAAGTTCCTCTTGCAGTGGTAAACCATGTGTAAAAAACTTGAACAATAGGACGATCAGAATCGAGAAAGAAAAGTTCGAGCCCATCTTGAGCATACGATGATTTATAATGTTGTACACTTTGACTTTGCTAAAAAATAAGATATTTATATATATATATATATATATATATTTATTATAATTTATATGTATATCATATCATTTTGAAACAGTTACTCCATTTATGTTCACATATATAATGTGAATATATTTAGATATTCATATTAAGATGTGAATATTAAAGTGTATAACTGAAAAATTCACTGCATTTAAAAGAGATTCAGAAGAAAAGATGTAAATTATGTGTATAAATGTAATAAATTTAAGTTTTAAATGTCAATATATTATTATCTTCATATTTTTTAACAATAATAATTAATAGATTTTTATAGAATAATTTTTGATTTGTACCTCGAGTGATTCTCTCTCACTCTCTAAATAGTTCACTTATTCTCAAAGATATGCGATATTTTTTTACAGAAACTTGAAAAAAAAAACACTTGTGCTCCACGCTGCTCGCAGCCCGAGACTGCTCGAGGCTCGACTGAACTCGACTGACGACTGACGCCACGCGATGCGAATGAGATCTGGTATAGTCATCACAGAAGCGGTAGAAATGTGTAGAAAACAGTGACGCCCGCACGGGAACTTTGATTACTATCATATATTGCGCGCAATACTACATAAATCACGCGACGTTCCGCGAATATTGCGCCTGTGGCTTACCTAATTCGTAATTATTTCACTGTTTCACTGTATATTGTGTTTATGTATAGATATATGTTACGCGCATGTGAAGTATCCGTGCATCACGCGTGATGCACTCATTCGAGCATTCGTCTGTGACACATTATTTTGAAGTGTCAGAATGAGATTTTTAAGTACTTGGCGTGTCTATATATTAATTTACATAAAATTATTTGATATAAATTAATATATATTGCATCTTCTCTTTTCGAATGCTCGTAAAATAAAATTTTCCTTAAATTCTTTAAGAATTATTATTCTACTTTACGATTTTTTTAAATATTTTTGACACTTTATTCATATTATACATTAGCTATTATATACACTTAAATTAATAAAAAAAAATCAAAAAAGGCTACTTATTGTTATAAGAGTTAAAGAAAAACGTGAAGAATATTACAATGAAATAAATTTAAATTTTTTCATTTTACTTGTCTAATTTAACGTCATTCTAATCGAGATTTGTTCATATGTGTATCTGCCGACGGCGCCGACAAAATTTTTATTACTCTTCTCTACGTTATATAAAATATATAAAATATATAATTTTATATTTCGAGGACCGTAATGTAATAGATTGCGCTCTTTAGCTTTTTATCTCTATAAAATGCATGATTACGATTATCAAGTACCAAAAATTTAATTTACAATGATATTTCTATATAATATTTCTATTGGAAGCGTTTCATTACATTATTCCCAAGAGTTGGACTTAATTATATGCCAGTATAAACAATCCACATATTACTTATCTACATAATATATATGTACTAAATTATAATAAAATTATATTTCGGAAAAATATCCGATATAGCACATGCTTTATCGTGAAAGGCTAATAATCCTCTTCTAGTATACATTTCTCCACCAGTTCCCGTAAGTTTGGATTTTCCATCGCAGCCGCTATACGTTCCTTATCATTAATTTGTTTATTAACTGGAATTTAATGCACATAATTAAAAATAAGCTTAATATACATGTCTCAGTAACACTACTGAAAAACTGAATAAGATACAAGGAGCATACGTACTTTCCTGTTCAGTAGAATGTGCACCTTTCTTGATATAGATATCCAACTTAAATGAAGCCGATAAATGACGTTCCAATTTAATGCGGATGCACAGTCCTATGAGGGTGGCCAACGAACAGTGAGGCACTGTAGGATTAAACTCCACACGAATCACAGAAACTCCTCCAGGTGTGCTGTGACAAACTTTTATGCAATCTTCGTAAACAACGTCCAATTGCTCCAAGGTCTGTGGTTTCTCAGGATCTTTGATCGTCCTTAATACATCTGAAAAGCAACGAAAGATTGACGATAAATCGATCAAATTCTGAATAATTCTTAAGTAATTAATATTTGATCGTTTTAATAAATGTAGGCAACAAGTGATTTGCAATGTCGCACCCTCTCTCTCTCTCTCTCTCTCTCTCTGACATCGGACACTATCGGAAAGGTTGCGCGATACAATACACAAATAGAGCGCAAAACTTGCCGTAAACGGATTCTTTTAACTCGATATCCGTCCTTAACGTTTGATTCTTCGCCGTCAACAGATCCTCTGCCGTTCCCATGACTGTTTCCGGCAATATACCATCCTTTATTTTTCCGCCAATTGATAACTTTCGGAAAAAGGATAGCATGTTTATTAACGATAATAACAAGAAAAACATAACAGCATGATGTGAATTACGTCATCTGCATTCGCGAAGACGAGCGGCGGAACGAGAATAATGCAACATTCGGCATACGCGTGGTTTCCGTGCGTTACATCTGATCTGATTAGTGCGATTACGTCGTTTATGAGTTACGTATGTTTATACAATACATCCGAAGGGCAGTGTCGCCAAGTCATACCGACGATTTTCTCCTAATTTTAAAATCCTACAAAAGTCTCTAGTCTTCTCTAGTTATACATACGTGTGTGAAATTCCCTAAACAGTTGGAGTGTGGTAACTTTTCAGGTTGAAATGGTTGAACGATTGAAAGCGTCATCTCTAGATATTCGAGTATTTTGACACTTCTATTTGACTGTTTGACATGTGTGAGAAATTGGAGTAAACGTAAAATTCAAAGATAAACAACAGTGATTGTACATACAGTATCAGTGTATACACGATGACGACGCAAGAGGTGAAGAGAACAAAGAAAAAAAGCGCACAAAAAGAAAGTGTGACTCAAGAGGAAAAAAAGGTGGAAAAACCGAATAAACTCGTTCAGTCGTGAGTATAAGATTAATTTCTTATATTTCACATTAATATGTTTACATTACCGAATTTATCTTTCCTATTTTAGCATTTGATATGTCCAAAAATAATAATGATCAAATGCGTAATATATCCAAATAGAGGAAAGTAAATACACTACTCGATCTGCTTCTCCCCTCTGCTGTCATTGAAACTTCACTTATCTAATTTATAAGAGTAAAATAATATCCATAAATCTAACAGCCTCTAATTTTTATCTTGTAGAAAATATGGACCTATTGTATCTTTTCCATATCAAAGAGTATGGTCAAGATGTGTTCTGATACTTGGAGTCTTGCTAATAGTTTGGTATAATAATAGACATGGCAAAGAAGTATATCTGGCAAAGCAGAAAGACGTGCTGGTAAGTCGTACACAGAACGTTGACTGCTCTATGGATTATAGAGACGAGTTAGAAAAATACCCAGGCTGCGTACCAGAAAAATGTGGCAGAGCTGTAACTGACAAACTCGTCTCGACAACAGAGGCAGATGTTTTACTGAAACTAGCAAAAAGTGGATTAGATCTGGCTGGATCTGACGGTGGCGCGAGTATTCTGGATCTTCATTCAGGCGCTCTTAGCAAGGGACAGGGTTTCATCAATATTTATAAACAACCAGAGGCAAAGAAAATATTCAACAGCGTGGATTCGGCAATCTACAAGTATGATTTTACTTATATATAAATATTTATTTTTAAACCTAGAGCAAAGTATCCTTTGATGTTCCAAATTAGACAAAACGCATATAAATTGATATAAATAAAAATTATCTACAGTCTTTTATAGATAGACTAGATAAATGATAGATAAATGTAAAAACATTTCTAGCTGTCAGATTTTTTAGTGTCTAAAATACATGTATGCATATTATTAAAATTTATTTTGTATATATTTACCTGATATATTACGTTCTTTCTTAACTTATAGGGTAGTGAAAACGAAAATACAACATGCGGTGGCGCATAATTTTGGAATAGATATAAATAAAATCTATTTAACCAAACCTACTTTTTTCTCGCGAATGACTAATAAACCCGCAAAAACTATACATGATGAATACTGGCATCCACATATCGATAAGGTACGTTTGTCTGACGACGTTATATAGCGTAACCTTTAACAAAGTTTTGTTTTGTATAATGTAAAATTAAAACATAAAATTATGTATTTCAGGAAACATATGAATCATTCCATTACACATCATTGCTATATTTAAATGATTTTAGTAAAGATTTTGAAGGCGGTCGATTTATATATATGGACAAAAACGATGTCAATACCACAGTGGAACCGAGAAAAGGTAAAAAAGCGTTTAATAATTAATTATAAATTAAATTTATTGTAAAAAGATGAGACAATTTAGCAATACTTTCAGGTAGAGTATCAATTTTTACATCAGGAAGTGAAAATTTACATCTAGTTGAAAAAGTGAAATCTGGTACTCGTTATGCCTTGACCGTGTCTTTCACCTGTGACAAGAATGCCGCGATATCCGATTTACGTTTTACTGATACGTTAAATTAAGATTATTTTTATTTCATCAACAATGTCTAATTTTGCAGTTATTTAAATTGATTGATATTTACTTAAAGAAAATATCATAAGAATTATAAGAGTATAAATCACGTGTAAGAGCTGGATATTTTTATTTATAAATTTTTTTGTTAAATGGCACAATTGAACAGTATTATAATAGCATAAAGAAAAACAAGTGAAGTATTGCTTGTACGAATTTATTTTTAAAAATGTATTTCATTAAGTAATAAAGAAATTTAGAATGTTAATAACTAAGTGTCAGAAAGAGAATTGATCGTGGTGTGTTTCAAATAATTAAGATGAGTAGACGCCAACACAATACAAAATGGATCGTGGTGCTTAATAATAATATTTTTATATATGAATCTTTTACAATTCTGAAGTAATATTTTGTTATTTATAAGTTATTTATAAGTGATAAGTTATTTTCGCAGGGTTTAAAAATATGTTCAAGAGAGTAGCAAATTATTAGATTGCTTTGGCAATTGTGTTATTACATAATATTCAGTTTGGAGCATAGACTTATAAGTCTATGATTTGGAATTGCGTTTTAAAGGACTGACGATGCAGCGCACAGTTTGCATTGTAAGATTAACATATAAAAATATTATTATGAAGCATCAAGATTTGTGTTGGCATTTACTTATCTTAATTATTAAAATTTTAATATATTAAACATAAATTTGTGTTATTATCTATATGATTTACTTTCTCGATTTTTAAGCATATAATTATTTTTACGTGTAATAACCTGTTATATGTGTATAACATACATATAAGCAAGAAAGAAACAAAAGATAATATACAGTTAAGTCATATTAGAGTTAAGTTTGTGAAAAATACATTTTTTCGTTGTATTGAACTTGTATATGTTAATGAAATGAAACACGTATGTGTTACATACTATGAGAAAATATTGTGATAGTTGAGATAATGTCTATCAAGAATATTTTAGTAATAAGAATTTAATAAAAACGATAAAAAGATCTTAACCAATAATTAAGAAATTTATTTCAATATATTTTATTGGCCGCTTATTATTTCATTACTGAATTATATAATGAAAGACTCTAATTAAAACTCTTAAGCTAAGAATAACATGTTCAGCCTACATAAAACAAAAAAAGAATATGTTTTACTTAAGAGGAAGAAAATAATCAAAGAAAATCAATTTTTAATATACACACAATAATTATATTATATATACACATAAATAAATAGCAATGCTATGTTCACTAATATAAATTAAATAATGGTCATTTAATTTGCCCAGAATCATAACAAATATTCTTATAGGTAACCCTAAAACTAGTTCTTAAATTTAAAAATTACAAAGATTTTTGTATTTTATTTAAATAAATGGTAATATATACGGATGCACACACATTATACTATACTTATAAGAAACTATATTTTTATTTTTTCTATTTCTTATTTTATTCCAACTGTTTATAAAGTAAAAATAATTTTAATTTACACCTATATATATATATATATATATAGGTATATATATGTATGTATATTGAAATATACAATGAGATATACACGAGAAAGATCTTTATGCAAATTAAGCACTAATCATGTCAATCTTCACAACTCACAATTTTTCAGTTAAACTGCAGCAGTATAATTATATCATATTTGCGATTTTGAAATAAGATATTTACATGTACAATGTTTCTACAACTTTTCTATATTATGAAAAATACATAATAAGTTTATCAGCAATGCGGCGCGCGCGTGCGCGCGCGTGCGTGCGTGTATGTATGTGTGCGTGCCGCGTAATTACTCTCAAATATAATAAAACTTAAAATACGAATATTCTTTCGCAAGCTTTCTACACTTGTAAGAGACTGGCGATCCTCTTTGCACTTTCTCCCAATAATATTGTTCTGTGATTACCATGTACCTCTTCTATTCTGACGGGTTGCGTGCAAATCTGAAAAGAAAAAAAAAAATTAAACTATGCAACTTTTTGAAGATAAACTATTAAATTTTATGTAATAGTGAGAGGGATTCAAATAAAACTTTTCGATTCATCAATTTTTCATTTTTGAATATAGCTATTATGATACAATGATTCAACAAATATATTTGATTAAAATTATATTAAAGTTCATTTAACTTTGAATCTACAATTAATTTGCAATGCTACAAAAAGAAAAGCTTAATTATTGAAAACTTAATTTTTGAATATTGGACGTTTAACAAAAAAAGAGGGAACAAAGAAAATAAAAATTCTTACATTTGATAAACCATAATCCTTTTCTAAAGGCAGGAAGTTTTCTGTAGCCTTAATTAGTGTAACCGGTCCTTTAATCTTTTGATTTGGATTATACATTACACAAGCCGCTAATTTTTTGAATAAAAGATATCCGGCAATCTTTAGATCGTCCTGTGTAAACGGCGTATTACCTATCACTTCTATCATCTTGTCGAACATCTCCACATCTGATTTACTGTGTTTCAAAACATTGTACGCCTGAAATAAAACGTAGTACATTTTAAAACAAGTATCCAAATTTATATAATTTACCTCAATTATTAATGCTTAGATCATTCGATTTATAAATTATATTACGTTGTTAAACTTAATTAAATTTTAAAAAATATACTAGAGAGAGAAAAAGAGAGATGTTAAATAATTATTTTGAATTAATTCCAAAAGGATAAAAAAGCACTATTTGTTTACATAAACATTAAATGTCCGCTCGTTATGTACGTATTATACATATTGTGAACAAATGTTAATTTTAATAGTCTCACTTGTTTGTATAAGACACAATATGTGCTTTAAACGATTCTCATTTTACTTGTACTTTTCTTTGTCTCTTTACTAAAATAAAATAAGATAAATAGAAAACCGGACAGGATACTCTGTGATACTTACTTGAATGAAATTGATGCTCTTGTTAAATTGTATGCTAAAATATGCCAGTGCTTTCATACAACTGTCGGAAGTAATATTTTTCAATTCATCTACTTTGCCAATCACAGCACATTGCTGTCGCAGGAATTCCAGTGAACCATCGATTAGACTCAGAATCACTTTTTCCCCAGCGGATTCCAATTGCAGAGTCATCTCGATGGCGACGGCAGTTCCAAACGAGTATGCTGCCAAGTGATATGGTCCCTTTTTCTGAACTTTTCTAATAGTATTCAGATAAAATTCAGCCAACTCCGATATCGTTTCGTGAGGCGCCTGCTCAATACACTGCAGGCCCCAAAATGGCCTGTCAAGTTCACTGGCCACATACTCTAACGGTTTGACAAGACCTTCAATAGCATGAACAACGAATAACGTCGGTCCGTTGGAACTCTTTGTTTTCAAGCGAACAAGAGCCTCTTTAGGCAGCAACTCATTGCTCGGCCACTGCATCAGCAGCATGTTGTTGGGCGACATGTCCGAGTCCGCAGCAGTCGCATTTGCAGCAAGAGATTGTTGTTCTTTCGCTGTCTCATCACCTGTCGAAGATAATTCTTGCAGTTTGGCGAAGGTCAAGGTACGAATCTCTTGAGCCGACAATACGATGTCGTAGTTCCTTTCGAGGGTCTGTTTTATTTCCGTGCCCATCAGCGAATCCATACCCAAATCGGCCAAGCTATTGTTGGGATTAATCGTATTAACATCTTTAATGCCTAAAATATTGGCAATGGTTGCAGCGAGGTCGGCCTTGTTACTGTCGCCGGTTTTATGTTTCTCAGCTAACACCGTGGATGCGAGCACTGGGTGCGGTTGCTGAAGGAATATATCCATTGTCGCGAGACAACTCGACATGTGTTGTGGTAGAGTGCCACCCACCTCGGTGTCATTATCTCCCATTTCTGAAGAGATAACAATATCGTAAGAAAAACTGTGATCATAAGAAATGTGTCGCATACATTAATGTAGAAATAAATAGTATACAAAATAGGCTCACGTATCATCTATTATTATATTTATATCATTATCTTATATAATATTATAATCATGTGCTTTTTGTGTCAAGGAGCATAAAATAAAAGCACAAGATTGAATTTACAAAATCAAAGAAAAAGTAACTTGAGAAAGTTTGAAGATGATTCGCGTATTCAGAAACAACTATTTGATTGAGGGAGAGAAAATTGGAATTATTTTGGAACATTTCATGTATTACCCATGATTAGGCCAACGTCTCCGACAGCACCCCATTGAATGGCAAGACCGGGTAAGCCATTAGCCTGCCTCTCTTCAATTATTCTCTCCATGGTAGAATTCGCGAAACCGTAGTTGGTTTGACCTATATTACCGCGACCGCATGATACGGACGAGAACACCACAAAGTAATCTAGCGATGGGCAGAGCTTTCTCGATACCACATCTACATTCCTTGTAACATCGACTTTTGGTAAAATAACCGTTTTAAAATCGGCTTCTTCGAGGTTTTCAATCAGAGCGTCACGCAGTACGGCTGCCAGATTAAATATACCGCCTACTGGAGCTATTCGGTTGCTTTCCTGGATCAAGCGTTGGGCACCCGATAACGTCGTAACATCCGCTGTGAAGATGACAATTTTTACGCCGCGTTCGCGCCAGCGACGCACGCACAATGCCTGGTAACCATTACGTATGCCTGAGCGCGACACGAGAATAATGAATTTGGCGCCACGGGCGACCATCCAGTTGGCCAGTTCTAGACCGAATCCGCCGAGACCGCCGATCAGTACATACGATTTCTCCGGATTTATGTAAGTACGCGGGATCGCAGCCACTGTCTTCGGTGTTGGTAATACACGCTTCTTCGGTTCCTCATCACGAATCTTCAGCAGCACTTTGCCGATGTGCTTGCCCGTCGCCATGAACCTGAATGCTTGCTCGAGCTGTTGCTCTGAAAACACGGTCGACTGGAGCGGACGTACCGCGCCATTCTTAATTCCCTCCGAAACGAGTTTTATCATTTCCCTCTTTTCCACGTTATCTTCTCCAAATAACGCATCCAGCAATATACCGTGGAAAGACGTATTCTTCAAAAACATTGACATTCCTACGCGGCTGTCATTTGACAAGTCGTACTTGCCGATCTCAAGGAAACGGCCACCGTACGCGAGGCACCGAATGCCGGCTTGCAATTTCTCCTCTGCCAGTGAGTTCAGCACAACGTCGACTCCACGTCCCTGCGTCTCAGTACGTATTAGCTGTTCGAAACTCGTATCTCGGGAATTGCCGATGTGCCTGTCGTTCAACTGCGGGAAAATTTTCTTGAGATACTCTCTTTTTTCCAGCGTGCCGACGGTAGTGAAGACGGTACAACCAGCATGTAGAGCAATGGCGATCGCTGCTTGACCAACGCCGCCTGTACCAGCGTGGATTAACACGCTTTCGCCTGCTTTCAATCGACCCCGTACAAACAGAGCGTAGTAACTAGTTGCGTAAGCGACAGGTATCGTTGCCGCTTGTTCCAAGGTCCATTTGTCAGGTACTTCCCAAAGGAAATCAAGATCCGTTACCACAGTGGTCGCCAACCCTTTAGCTTCAACTATGCCCATCACCCGTCGACCGTTAGTGTCTCTTCCGGAAAATTCGAGTCCCAATATACACTCTTCCGTAGCCATATTCCCTGGTAGGGCATCTGGTGGTAATTTGCCACTTGCTAACATGATATCCCTGTATAATTCGTATAATTTATATTTATTTGTCACGCCTTTGTGCCTTATCGACTAAATTACCAGTGAATAATACTCATTGAATTGAAATTTACCTGAAATTCAGTGGAGCATAGTACACGCTGCAAAGTGCCGTATTGGGAGAATTGTCGGATCGATAATAAGTTAAAGGGCCTTCGATCCATCTCAAGCTGCTGAGGTCTCCCCTTGTCAGTGTGTTGACGTAGGCGTGCTCCACCTGCAGAGAAGACACATTGTTCTGTTGATCCAACGGCAAATGTCGATAACTGCCCCATTGTCCTCCTTTTAGCACGTTGGCCATCAATCCTTTGTCCAATTGTTCCACGTAAAACCGCACGGATAAGCCGAACTTTGGAGCGTTCTTGTCCTGGATGAAGACATAGCGCGCATTTGCACCGCCTACCTCGCGTCGTATGCAAGTCATGAGTCCGGCCAAGCCTACGAGGCAAAAAGCGACGAGACATTTTTTCGATCCATTTACATTATATAAAGAAAAACATTACTCTCATACAGAGTAATTAAAGAAGTGGTGATTGAAAGTTTGAGATAATTTTCTCGGTAATCTTACCAAGCGTTTCTTCTCCCTGGGATACAAGAAGCACTTCTTGATCTTCGCTGTCAGATTTCTTCAGTGCTGCTTTTACACCTTCCAACCACGAGAGATTTTTCTCTGTGATTTCTATTACTATCGGTTCTCTTTTTGTCTCCCGCTTCTTCAGCAATAAGTACGTCTTTCCTATGGGATCGATTTGTTTTCCGGCCAATGTTAGATCAGTTTCCTTCAATACGGTCTTCAAATCCAGTTGCTTAGTGGTCTCCTCCAGAAGAATGAAACAACCAGGTTTTAAGGCAGCCGCCAAGTTTTTGAGAACAATATAAGATCGATTGGACAGGACGTCCGCCGCTATGACGAGGTGCACATTCTGAGCGGGGGGTGCGTTGTTGACGTCTCGTTTGACAACATCAGCGTTCACATTCATTTGACTCAAGCTCGCCGTGTAATTGTCGGGAGAAACTGCAATCACTTGTAAATCAATCTGAAACAAAGCGAAACAAACGAGATCAATTTTATTATTTTAAATATTGAAAACAGCGATCACTCTTGGAAAAAAGCATGATTTCAAATAGGAATAAATTATAATTGTATTTGTTTCGTATGTATCACGTGTAAGTTTCACACTTTTTAAAACATTTTAAAACTTTGCACATAAATAAAAGAAACAAGTAAACAGCGTAGTTTGGTCGGACAAAATATTTTTGTTCAAATGGCGCTAATAATCACGTACACTCCAAATTAGTTTATATTTATTTTTAAAATTTCTGTTCATTATCTTTAATATTGCAATAATGTAATTTATTAAAATAGAATGCTAGATGGCAGCTCTGATTACTGAAATAATCATCTGGCAAAAGATCCGGATTTGATTTTTAAATTTGTTGCCATCCTGATCTGTACACGATTTATTTTATTTTAGGTATATCGAATGGGAAAATATTGCACTTTTTTTTGTTTGAATGAAACAAAGAAATAAACAATTAAAATCCTGGAGTATACTTACGTCAGGCGAGCCCAGTTGGTTATGGAAAATGTCCAACATAAGCGGCGCTAAGAGGGCTTCCGCAGCTCGTTCGCCTGCAACTTCCACGGTCTTCAATTTCAGTGCCATCATGTTCTCACACATGATTTGCAAGAGCACAGTGAGCGCGTGCGCCTTTCCTCTCATTGGATCCTCTACCAGACTGTGCGAATTTTCATAGGGCATGAAAGTATATCGTTCATGTTTAGGATCAGCTTGAGTCTGCTGTCGTCGAGGTGCCAAGGAAGATTTCAATCCTCTGAGCTCGATACCACCCGATTTAACAATATCAATGTTCTTGTAGTGATATACCGGCAACCCACCATTCTCTGGTAATTCTTCCACCAGTCGTTTATGAAGAACAGGGTCAATTGCGGCGTACTGCAGACGCGACGGTAAATACAGTAGCTTGTGGCTGGTGGATAGTATGGTGAACTGAAGCATAGTATCTATGTACGAAACCCATTGGTCGAACCAGCAAAGTTCGCCAGCAGTGCCGTAGTTATCGCAAGATTTGATTCCTTGGAAGATATCGCGATACTCGTATCCGCGCAGCCTCAGCTCCTTGTAAATGTCCTTAGTGTTCAACGGCAAAGTCTCCTCGTCGTTAGGCGGCATTGGCGGTGGCGGCAGCTTCAGCTGATCTTTCTCGATAGTCTCGGATACGTGGATGTTACCGCTGACGACGACTGTATCGGCCTCGCAGATTTCAAAATCGCCCGTTCCCTGGAAGATGGTTATCGAGAATTTCACCGTTCCCTCTTTCGGCATGATGGTGGCACGCTGAAAACGCACATTCTCGAACACCACCGGCAATCGTTCAAAGTCGGTGCCGCGTAATTTCGCCAATGTTTTCCACACCAACAGAATGTAGCCAGTAGCTGGGAAAAGGACTCTACCATCTATCTGGTGTCCTGCTAGATACGCGTCCGTTTCTTTCGACAAATCTACTTGGACGACACACTCTCCCGAGTGGCCCGATATCTGGTTGAAAGTAGCTACATCCCACGCGACAGAGTGATCCCACTTGACTAGAGACCCGATCATCGGTGTTCCGCGACCGACGGGAAAACTGATTGGCGGATACAATTTGGAGATGTCAGGTTGCGCCCCGGCCATGTACAGCTTGCCCACGTTAGACAGCAGGAAAGCCAGGTTGTCCGAATGGTCCCGCTTGTGGAGGCTGATATTGGTCACCGTTGACGGTAACGATCTGCGTAAAATTGCCTGCAGCAGACAATGCGGCGCGATCTCGATTGTTACCGCGTTCTCTGGAACATGCGCGAGCCCCTCCTGGAAGAGGACAGGAGACAGCAAATTGTTTACGTGATACGCGGACGAGCTAAACTGCGCGAGCGGACTGCCCCATGCAGCTTCGGGTACGGAAGTGGAAATCCATTTAGCCGACCTCTGCTTCGGGTTCGGTATGATCTTTTCGAGCGAAGCGCGTAGCTTAGGTCCTGCTGAGGAGATATATTTGCTGTGGAAGGCGAAGCCGGAACTTTTCACCAGCTTGGCGAAGATATCTTTGCTTTTCAGCGTTTCTACGAACTTTTGCATAGACTCTGCCGGACCGGAGATAGTGACCGAGTCCGCGGAGTTGTGGCAAGCTGGAGTGATATCGGATGGGCACATCTTTTTGGTCTCCTCCCAGCTCAAGCCAACTGCCGCCATGGCGCCCCGTTCCAGCTTGGAATCTATAATTGCCTTACCTCTACAGTAAGCCGCTAAGACAGTCTGCTCCGGTGTAAATGCGCCGTCAGCATAAGCACAACCCAATTCTCCAACGGAGTGTCCGATTATGCCGTCCGGATGTATGCCTATCGACGTTAAAACGTCGACCAGGGCAACCTGCACCGCCGCGATAGACACGAAGGAATCCATCACATTCTCGTACGTATCGTCCGTGGCATTTATGATGATGTTCATGAGGTCGATACCGTGAGGCGCCAGCGCATCCGCGCATCGTCGCAAACTACGTTGAAAAGTTTCAATGCCAAACAGCTGACGAGCCATGCCCGGCCATTGCGTGCCCATGCCGGAAAATACGAACCAAATGGGGCGCCTCTCGTTATAACTCGCTACCTCGGTCATTTCACGTGTACCATCAATATTAAGTATCTCGTAGCCGCGAATATGATGGCCGGGAATGTCGTTATTGTGCACTACGTGTAACAATGAGAGAAACTCGTCGTCTTTACGATGCTCTTTTACTTGATCCAATAAGGTGTGCACAGCTTCTTCCGTTCGACCGGATACAGCAACCAATTTGGGCAACAGCTCGGTGACGTTCAATAACGGTGATAATTTTGGTTTTGGATTGCTGCGCAGAATGATGTGCACATTTGCGCCGCCGAAGCCGAACGAGTTGATGCCCACGAGACCACCGTTCCACGGTGTGACCTTGTCGACCACTCGAATGCGCCCTTCGATCAAAGCAGGAATGTTCGAATTCGGAGTATTGAAGTGCAAATTCGCGGGTATCACGCCCGCTTCCATCGCAATCAACACCTTGGCGATCGAGCACAATCCGCTGGCCGGTTCCGAGTGACCCATGTTGGATTTTACCGAGCCAATCAGCAAGGGAGTCTTCCTGCCTTTGCAGAATAACTTGTCGATGGAATTGATCTCCTCTGGATCGCCTACTTTGGTACCAGTACCATGGCTCTCCACGTAACTCACGTCCGCGGGATTAATTCCCGCCTCGTTATACATCTCGCGCATCAATCGATTTTGCATCTCACCGTTCGGATACGTGATACCTTGGGATTTGTAGCCGTCGGTGTTTGCTTTCGTGTGAATCATCGTGGCGTACACTCTGCGGGCATCCTTCGCTTTCTGCAAATATATCGCCACTACCGCCTCGGCCCTCACGTAACCGTCACCCGAAGCGTCAAATGCTTTGCACTTTCCATCCTGAGACAGCATACCTAGTCTGTGAAATTGAAGCGAGCAGTTCGGTTTTAACAAGAGATTCACTCCACCGATGATTGCAGCGTCACACTCGCCGGCGCGCATTGCAGCGACTGCCTGATGCACGCCGCACATGCTCGACGAACAAGCCGTGTCTATCGCGTAGCTAGGTCCATTGAAGTCAAAACAGTAGGAGATTCTGTTGGCGAACATCGCTCTGCAACAACCGAGCAGTCCGTATCCTGCAAGCGAGTACAAATTTCTCGGTCTACTCTCAGCAGATATATTGTATAATATATTGTATAATTTTTTTCTTTCGCGTCGCATAACATTTTGCTACTTGTAACAAGTAGTAAAATATGAACGATTATTCACACATAAAATTGTATGCCCGTGCCATCATAGTTGCATTTTCTTATATTCAGATAAATCTATGAATTGTAATTTTTATCAAATTTAAATTAAAACTTGAACAAATACCTAGTCCCCGGCAGATAAAAAAAATTCAAATAATTGAATCGAAAAGATATTCGGTACCATTTTTCATAGTATATATACAAACCGTTTATGATGTCCGCATCTTTCGTCCAAAATTCATCCGTTTCCGAGCTAGAGACACCGATGAATACACCGGTACGCGATCCTCTAACGGTCGAGGGATTGACGCCAGCGTCAACTATCGCCTCGTACGTGACTTCTAACATCATGCGAAGCTGCGGGTCCATTACGTGTGCCTGCTTCGGATGTACCCCGAAAAAAGACGCGTCAAAGCTGCTCAGGTCCTTGATTTTACCAGATCTGAGCGGTAGCCCGTGGAGCCCCGCTGACCAACGACGATCGTCATCAGTGATCATGTCCATTTCTTTCATCAGATTCTCCTTAAACTCCTCGATATTCGATGACTCGGGTAGACGGCCTGGAAAAAAAAAAACATTTATTCGGTCGATGCGTCACGCTCCCATAACGATCTGGCCAGTAGTCGTGCCGCGGCCGTTTGCGATCGACAATTACCTGATATGCCCGTAATAACGATGTCACTATCGACGGAATATGATACTCCATTTCCGATCACGGACTCCCGCGTCACAGGACTGTTGACACTTTCAAACTGAGCAGGCATCTTGCCGAAGAAGTTTCTTTCTTTGTGGATCCCTATCTGCAAGGATAGAACCAATGAGTCTTAATTTATACCAATTTCATCATCTATAGCATTATTAGCATCGTAGTTGATGGTAAGGCTTATTTGTGAGCTATTTACTATTCGAGCATATTTAAACAAATGACAGATCTTTTTCAATATCTTTTGCGATTTAAAAAAAAATGCAAGAATATGTAGCCATTATATTAAAATATTCTTTTTACTTGGAAAAAAAAAAAAAAAAAAAACACATTTTTCTTAGAAATTAATGATTTTTCATAATTTCGATCGTTTTTTTGAGATTTCAAAGAAGACATTAAAATCAATATAATTTTAATAAATTTACAAAATGTTATTTCGAGAACACTTTGTTATTCCTAGGAATAAACATAGGAGTCAATTTACGTTTATCTGTCACATCAAAATTTTAACGTTCTGGAATCTCTTGTTCGACTGTCTCTTTGCTCGTGCTCGGTCCATAAAGCGATTGCTACGCGCAATTATCTTCAATTGACATATATAACATACTTAATGGAGTAATCTCAATAGAATTTCTGGATAAATCACTTTTGCTTGATAAATGTTCGCAGAATCGTCACTGTTTCTCGAAAAATCATTTAATCACTAAACTAGTTTATAGCCAAAAATTATTACCAAACAAGGTGTTTCTTATAGATTTTTGGATGCTGAAAATAATGTCGCAAGTCAAATTTTACCAGCATGTCAGATTTCCAAAATAATTGAGGTTAACACTTAAAAAATGACTTCTATATTTATGAGATTTGAAATTTTTTCGTAAAAAAGATTACGCTCTATTGTAACGGTATACTGAAATTCTGATCAGAAGCCATAAATGTATTGTCATCTTTTAAGATGCATTTTTTTATTTTCAATATCTTTTTAGCCATGTGAAGGATTTAAATTTAAACGGAATTTTATTAAGATAGCAAATTTTTCTCACTTATAACAATAAAGTTATATATATTACAATGTATATATATTTTGTTATATTTATTGTATTTACATTCTTCATAATGTGCTCAAAAAATTAAAAATAAGATATTAAAATTTAAAACAAATGTATTTCAAAGGAGTAAACAATATATTTATATAATAGTTACTGATCATAATTTCAATATAACATTAGCCTTTTTTTACAAAAAAAAAATTTCTAATACACACAAAAGTCATTTTTAATGTATTAAACTTCAATTGTTCTGGAAATTTGTGCTAATAAAATTTGACTTGGAATATCGTTTTTCATTTTAAAAAATCTATAAGAATCACCTGATTCAAAATAATCAAAAAATTCTTACAATCTATAAGTATTATTTTTTCTCAAAAAAGTACATATTGTATAAACGATGATTCATGTTTAGCTATAGTCAGTCGAAAAAATGTTATTGCGATAATGGGAATGGTCTATTTTTAAATATTTTATCTTTAAATATTGCAGTGTGTCATACCGCGCATTTTGTTTAAGTATTTCACAAACTATTTTCGATTATAATTTTACCTTTGTTATTAATACTTTTATACGAGACCGTATAGAGATGTATCTCGAGTGAGTTATCAAAATATTCAATCAGACATTTACGAAAATTTGTCTCAAACGTGCCGAATTATCCCGATAATTTGAGAAATTATCGTATACCATAATGCGATATGATATGTGAACAATGATTACGATATTCGTTATATTCGTTACATCGATTACATACTTCGAAACGTGTTATTGTCGACACAACACGTACTTTCAGGAGTGAGCAAATGGTCACGCGTACATATAAATTGAAATGATAAAAATTCTTTGATCGCAAGCCCATTTTTCAACAACTTTTGCAGACATACATTTGTCATCTTGTGCTTGATGGCCCAGCGTAATATTTATTTCTCGACACATGATATTGTCCGCCTGTAAATACATTAAAAGTTTAGCCAACCCAGACTAAACTTATCGTATAGATATTGCAACTCGCGATAAAATTTCGTCTATCTGCACATTACGTAAAACGTACTCCTCGACAAAAATTATTGTAAATAGCAATGGTATTTCGTATTACGACAATGAAATGATAATGGCGTTATAAAAAAAAGAAAAAAAAAACAATCGTTATATTGTCACTTTTCATGTCTGTCAAGTTGATATTGCAACATAGTTGAATAAAACGTAGATATAAATTTTTTTCTTTTTCATTGCTTTTTATTGCTTTTACTTGTTGCTTTATTCGCAATTTTATTGTTTTAAAAATTTCGATGAAATAGTGGCTGTATTAATTCGAAGTTTATAGCACAATACAGATAAAGAATCGAAACATAAAAAATAAAAATATATTTCTTTAGTACAATTTTATTTTCAATTCATGCTTTAAAGTGGATTAAAAACAGCAATTTTGTTTGCTTAATATCTTTTTGCCCATCAGTCGTAACATTCTTGATTCATGACCATCCTTGATCCTGTACTAGCACAACATTTTAGATATTAATTTTATCGAATATTTCGAATAAATTGTCTTTCTTATTTTATTGCTTAATCTTCTGATTTTAAATCTGATTTTACTCCATCTCCAATTTTCAAAAACTGTCCTAACTATATATTCTTTAACACAATACTTAAAATTTATAAATTGAATGAAAATCTCGATAAATTCCTATCTATCCTGTTTTGCTTCATATTTTTTTTTCCTGTAGCTGTACTAATTATAAACGTAAGTTGACACTGCAGCCATGGTATTTTTATCGAATCGGTCAAAACAATAAGACAAAAAAGCTAAAAATTCATGTTTTATTCGATTATCAGCTTAAATTAATAGACGTAAGTTCAAGTCAGAAGGTCGATTGCATTATCGAGTTATCGCGATTTGTACGACTGACGATGCGTACGTAATCGTACATTCAATTCAATTCAATTCTCTCTGTCACGATTATTATGCGGACGTTCTGGCGCGTGTCTACTAATTAAACATTTGTGGCGTGGTGACGTATGAATATTTAAAGACAACGGGGGTTTCTTCGAGAACTATTTGTTATCTTCTGAAACAGTATTCGACTGCCTCTAGATGTGAATGAACAATAATGCATTTTGATTTTAAAAAAATACTCTGTTAAATTCACAGTGTCAAATTACACCTAATTTGAGTTGTTTTTAATCATTTCTATACGTCGACACTGCTCATACTCAGTACGCCTAATAACTTAAAACAATAAAGCTAAACAATTTAATTCAAGAATTAAATTTAACTGAAATTCAATTTATATTTATTAAATGTAGTTAATATGAAGCAATTGATTGTAATTTATTGAACCACAAAAATGGTTAAATTTAATTAGATATAATTGTTTTTTTATAATCACATGTTTTGTGTTAAAATGATACATTTTAACACAAATTGAAGTTAAGAATAGCAACTCCTTGAGTTAAATAACGAAATGTTATTTAACTCAAGGAATTGCGTTCATATTTAACAGTGTATATCATAAAATGGTATAACGCGTTAACGAGTAGTGAGTATTAGTCTCCTAAAGAACAGAAATACCATTCACACATTTTTTTGTTATTTATCACGGCAACGCTTTTATGTTTTGGCGAAAATTGAAAGAGATAAATAAGCTTTTCAAGATAATTTTATGATAGATTTGGTTGGAAAAATTCAAGCTAGTTAGAAAAAAATCAACATTTTATAATTTTAAAACACAAATAAACACTGTTTTATATATATATATACCGTTTTCCAGATCTGTGGTAATCCTAATATATATTTTTTCTTCTCTGAAAGTTGACAACAAACTTGAATTATCGAACGAGTCATCCTCTGTCAAACATAATACATACGTTGGTGACTGTCTCTTTTTTTATCGGAAATTATGAGTATTTAAACTCAATTTTAAAGATTACACTTGAACGTAAGTGACGCTTATCTAAATTACACTTTACTTGCAAGTAAAACGTTAGATGGTCCGGCGATAATAAGAAATTATAACATATTGGTAACATATTGCCTTTTTATCGCACTTGCCTTGAACTTTAATGTCATTCGCATTGCACGAATTTCTCTCACATGTCTGTTTCGTGATATACAATGACATAAAATGTTTGGTCTTCAAACATGACTAGAAAAATTTGTGGTAAAATATATTATTGTTCGTTATAAAGTTACTATATTATGTCAAATAATGTTGTATAAGATAAATTAAAGGTAACGATTTGTTGGCGATGTTATCTTAATTCGTATTATATATTTATATGTATATATCTATAATCTAGTATTATCTATAATCTAGTATTACCTCAAAATTGTATCAGATTAGTTCTTTTCAAATGTATTAAGAATTTGTTGAATTTGAAAATATTATATTTTGACGCATTCAAAGACATTGTTTAATATGCATATTGTCGTGTTACATTATTTAGCGAAAAATCTAAAGACAATATATATAAAAATCTCATTTATTATGTTTTATGAAGAAATTTAAATACTATTAGTACGCTAAAATATATAAATAATTTTGCTCTCGTGCCTTAATATCGGAGCAGCCGCAACTTAATGCCGCTAAACGAGCTTTTTTGCAAGTTGATGTTACCATTGTAAATGATGAATTTAAAAGTCATTCAATGTTAATCGAGGTAAGAAACTAATTGTGCATACAGGTAGGGGTCAATTATCGCGCTTCCCTATCCCGTCGTATTAATCATCGCTCGGTTAATTGATCAATTATTTAAGCCTCATTAGTCTCGCGTTGGATACCGTTTGCGCCCACGCATCCGCGACAGGTGCGTGTGATTGTAATTAGTAATTGAGGAATATCAGTAATTCTTGGAACGTGAAAAGTAGTGCAATAGCAAAAAATCGTATAAAAAGAAATAGTAATCTCAAATAAATAAGATTTTTAATAAAACGTATAATTTCCGTGATTGAGTGAAGAAATGTTAAAGTTTTGAAATTTTAATAACCAACGTGCGTACGGCTAGAAATAAAAAAAGGTCTTTTTGCTTTAGACTAAAGTCTTAAGTCGTTTCTGCTAGACTAAAGTTTAAGTATGCAGGGTTTTGCTACTTAATTATTACACAAAATATGAAGAAATATCTATGTTAATCGGTTGCGTTCAGCAGAGTAAAAAGCAGTTTTATAACTGTAAGATTGTAAGATTTTTTTATATCTTTTTATAGGTATTCCTCACGCGATCGAAATGTATAAAAACTAATCCTATTAAAGAATTTTAAAGCAGTTGCAAAGCTGCTTTTTGCAAGTCTCTAAACACACAGCCTGCAGCGTGAGTGAGTTCACAAGTACAGATTGACATCATACTTGTTAGAACTATATACATTATATGACGCAATACAAACACAAACGTTTATTCTGGTGTAACGTCGTGTCTCCAGGGCCTCCATATATATATAAAAAAGAAACGAAAGCAACGTCTGAATTATCTCTTTCTACGAATACGCACGAATATTCGCTACTGTTTACCATTCACATAAACACTGTGAACTTGCGATACGCTAAACCGAATGCATGTATTTGTTTCGCTCCTCGCACCATAGCGCGCTAGATCGTTCCGTTAGATACTCGTACAATAGTGCAGTCAGTTACTTTCGTTTCTTTCTTTTACGCTTCGAGTGTTTAGTTGCTTTACCTCTTTCTGTTACTTCTATTTACATATATTATATATATCATTATGTAATACATATATAAATGTATGTACTTATACAGTTATTAGCATTTGCCAAGTACCTCATGTCAGTGTCATGCAATACATTACTACGGTAAGACACTTATCACTTCTGACAGAGAAACGTAATCTATAATTCTCGTATAATATTATATATACGTTTATCGCGGACTGTTTAACACTTTTTTTTACATATAGTATTATATTAATTTTCTATATTTATCCATGCAAGATTTCAATGAAGAATCTCTGAATGGAGTTTACACGACAATTCTATAATTTGTGAAAAACATTGGATTTTTTTTGTAATTTTTTTCAAAAATCTTTGAGACAATAATAAAAAACGTATTCATTAATCCAATACTTTTTTTTTACATGGAGGCTCTCTCAAATATGTCTGATGTACGTATCTCATTGATGATGTACGCATATCTTTAGCTAATATTGACTCATGTCAATCATATCGTTTTGCTATCGAGATTCAAAGGATTCTATCTAAGGAAATAGGCGAAATTGTGATAAATCCTTTTCGGAGTGGTATTCTATCTGACGCTGATAATTTCTTCATATATATCGATGAGAGAAAACAGATGATTATTGAAACTTGATTAGACTCATGGCTTAAAGTTAAAAGGTAAAGACACTTGTCTTAAATATTTAAATACTTTCTTCACCTGCATGTAAACGATTATATATATAAAAAAAAATAAGTGTATGATAGAATAAAAAGTTGTTGAGGATATTTATTTTATGTTATATAATCAATTAAGCTTGGATAAAGTAAAATCTATTAAACTATAATATATATTGTAATTAATATATCTGCTAAAGTATACTATAATTAATCTATTTTTGTTGTAATTTATCAAATTATATCATATCGATCCGATGATTTTTACAAGTGTCGAATCGTCCGCACAGAGCTGAAAGAATTTAATAACGTACTACAAGGACATATGCTTTGGAACTTTTGGCGAAACTGCGACTCGCGGCGATCGAGTCTTTCAGTTCAGGCGGCAACTCTTCGTTAAAAGCGCGGAAGCGGACAATTCGCACTACCCCGAATCTACCTCGATATCGATTTGTGTGACGCGGAGACTCACCTGGCCCAAGCTCTCGCATATAAGCAATCCCGGGAAAAATTGGAGCGGAGCAAAAGACTGCAGGCGTTCCTCGCTGCGCCGTCAATTTTTCGAATCACCGCGCGAGGCTCTCTTCCTCGCGGGACTGGCTCGTTCACCTCGAGTGGAGTATGGCGCGAGTGGCTCTCGCTCTCCAGAGTGGCAATCGGGAAGTCGGACGATTGAACTGAGGAGTGAGGACTGGCTAGCATCTAGCTCACCAGCATCTTATTATTGAATCGCACAGTTCTGTGGTCTGACATCAGACCATGTGGCGACGACCAATCGGAGCGCGGTTCCGGCGAGCGCATGCGCCTCTACCACCCGGTGTGCCGCATCCGCGGCCGCGCGCGACAATCGACAACAACGACGACGACGACGACGATGACGATGACGACGACGACCGGCGACCGACGACCGACGCGGACCGACGTCGTCTTGTCTGATTTTCCGTCACGAGCAAGATCGTGACCATCACCCGCCTGCACTGACTTACTCGGCGCGATTCCGCTAGATTCCACGAGATCGCGACCACGCGTCTGTCACATGTCACGTGTGCCGCGAGTGCCGCAACGTCGCCTGCGGTCGCACCGCAACTCTTTCGCGTATTCTTTCGTTTCGTACGATGCCCGAATTGCCCGATGCCGACGACAGTGTTATCAGGGAGGATGATAGCGTCACCGTCTTGAAACACATGAAGCGGAAAGAATCGATACCATGCAGGACCCCCTTTGACTCATCGTCCAAGTGCGCAATACCGATGGTTTTATGCGTTCAACTATTAATATAGCGATCGCTAATTAATTATACATACGGTAGTCGTGCGCGCGCGTATAGTAAAGAATCGATAATACTCATCTTTAGCCAGAGATGAGATATGCACCTTTAAAAAAAAAGGAACAGACTGCTGCAGTTATGTGATATGTTTGTACAAAATGCAACAATAACACAATTGATATGAGTGCAGTCCATCTCGTAATCAAAAATTAACCTAGCAAATATCAAATAATATTTAACGTACCTATTAGTTGTAACACACATGCAGTGTCATAGTAGTTATATTGTTGAGTCAAAAGTTACAATTTATATAAGGTACGTTATATATATTACTTTTGATGTTTGCTGGGAAACTTATATATGTAGAGTGTAAATAAATAAGCAAATTATATGTCATAATTCTAATGAGAAGTCTACCGTCTACTTCTATATACATATATAGTATACAAATGCAATTAAAATTTATAATTAACTGATTATACGGACAGACCTGTTGAGATAAGTTTCCGAATAATTATGAAAATTCATTAATACGTTTTTACGTATATACGTATACGTTTATACGTAACTATATTCGCGTTTTTGTTAATTTCATGCCTGCGCACTTTTTAATTTAACAAAACGTTACAATGGAATAAAAAAAAAAGATCGCCGATTATCGTGAATTATCGCGAATATAAAAAAGGATGGTTAAACTAACATAATTTAAATAACACTCGCGGGAATTTAACATACAGTACGTATAAAACGTCGATTTCAATTCACAAAAGGTCAGATTCGAAATCTTAATTTACGATTTCGACGTGAATTTGTTCGTAAATTATTTATCATGTATGCATGTAAGAACCTCTGGTATATTACACATGTATACACTAATTTTTTGTATTTCTCTTGAATCGTTGAAAAGATTTAAGTCTACGATCTCGGGAAAAAAAATTTGGTTTTAATGTCTATGAGAGAAATTTCTATAGAAATTTTTTTTATTTTTAGCCACATATGATTTGGAAAATTATATGTAAAATCGAAATTAAAGTTAAGGAAAGTTTTTAAGTAGTTTCTTAACTAGACTAAAATTAGATTTTAAGTCCACGAATTTGTGATTAAAATTAAGATCACTTGTGATAAGCGATACTATTTTGCATTACTAGAAAACAGAAGACATGTTTATACATGTACAATTCAAATCCGCGTGATTTATGTAATAATTTCATGAAAAAATAAACCTATGATATATAATCTACATTAAAATCATGTAAATAAAATAAATTTCTTATCAATCGCAAGGTTACTGTTGTATAAATATATATATTAAAGGTGATAATTACACAATTTCACGAATATAGATAAGATTGATTAATGTAAAGTATTGAGAACGCGATTGATAATAATACACTGTAGCAGTTATTTCATTTTAAATGAGAAATTTCAAAAACGATGATCTTATAAAGTATTTCATAAAATTTCAATTTTCTTTAATCATACAAGTTGCGGTTTAAATTCTTTGTGGTTTAGTAGAATTTATAAATTTACGACATTTGACTTTTCATTTACATGTTCAATATTTTTTTTAAACCTCTAGCACATATTTCTATTCAAATATAAAAATAATTTTATCTTAAAGTAATTTTGTTCTTATACAAAAATTTGTAATATATGAGAAAAAAAAATTATAAAAATTTAAAGATTTTTAATATACGTATATCACAAGAAATTTTCGTTTTGTGATACACTATTATAAATTTGCTTCTTTCTTCACTCACACAGGGGAAGTTATTTTGATCATTCATATTGGGATTTTAGACAAGAATTAGACAAGCACTTAGATAAAAATACGATTTGATAAACAGAAAAAAACAATAGCAAAGCAATTTGTATAAATCAAGACTTATTTCCACTTGGTGTGTGTAAGATATCTTTTAAAATAATCATATTTTACAATTTACATTAAAATCTAAAGTTTACTTTTTTATTTCCACACACTTCACTCATATTAAAAGAGCAAGTAAATAAAAGATCCATATTTTGTTTTCTGAGCCAAAACAAGATAAATAAACATTAGAATAATATACGTGGGTAGTGGAAATGTGTAATATTTATTCAGCATTATTTTAATCATTATACTTTAAATTAATTAAGGCTCCGAAAATTTAGAACATAATTTAACCACTTTTATCATAATTACACAAAGCAAAATAAAATTTTGTCAAGTAGCGTGAAGTGAAAGTGGCTTGTGTGAGATTTGCAATAATTTTCTGCCAAGAACACAATAACCTTGATTGAAAACTATATATACCCATTGTCAGATTCCTACATATATGTCATGAAGAAAGTGTTGGAGATCATCACGCTTAACGAGACTTTTGTGGCATCGTCCAAAGGCAAGCAGGAGGCATCCTGTTTAGCACCGTAGATGCCGCATTGTGAATGGCGACGATACGAAGCGAATTGCAGTTGCTCTAATCAAAATCGAGGTTGATATCGGCAAGGAAATGTCGTGTCATGACGAAGATACACGCCATCGAGATCGCAATCGATTATTCGGCATGCAGTCTCGTGTGTCTCGTCACGCAATGTATCACGTGGAAGCGATTACGAGAACGAAATCACACGGGCGATTCACACGGGTACGAGTCGTGATCCAGTGTATTATTGAAAAATTATTATGAATGTTGTACAATAAGTAAAAATGTTAAATATGATACTGACATAAAATGATGTAACAAATCAAGGATACTCTATAGAAAAACAAACGTTTGCATGCACGTTTTATAGAGAATTTACGCAATGCGTTCTATAAACTATTTATTCTCGCGGAGAATTATATATTATTCGTTCTATAGAACAACAATATATTTTATACGTTTTTATAGAAATATTTTTTTTAAACGTTTGTTTTATAGATACACGTGTTTGTAGATTAATATATGTAAAAGTTGGTTGTTTGTTATTTCAAAATATGCAATCAAATGGCGTAATATCCTGATGACTCTTTGACCTGTGACATAAAGGCAATCCTCATGTGATCGTGTATAATTTAATTTGTCAGATGCTTTATGTGTGTGCGAAAAAGAGAGCGTGTAGCTCACGAAATAAGCAATCTCATAATCCAATCTGAATAGATAGAAAATTTTCTATTTTTTACATATCAAAGACTTAATTAATATTAATAGTAAAAATAAGATAAAGATTCGTTTAGCTATCAATATCGTTATTAGATAGTTTTTAATTATAAATATCAATAGTAATAATAGTCAAATAGTCTCATAAAAAAAGAGACAATCAAAATTTTATCTCCGAGTTATTATCTTATCTATTCTTAGATGCGATGACTTCATTGCTTCCTATACATCGAACAAAAACAGCATGCTGTACGTATACATAGTATATTACGAATTCTTTAAGGCTATCGATATAATGCATCGTAGAAAACACATGAATTCTTTTACTTGGAAAAGAATTCACTTTATCCTTATTATTTTCCTCCTTTTTTCTTTTTCTGCGACTCGTTTGTTTCGTTTAACTTCTCCAGTTCCAATTCCAAAGCCCTTTGCTTCCGTCGACATGTTGGTGTTTTGGAAAACCACGCTGTAACATTAAATTTAAGCCAAGTTTAAGCCTATTAAAAGTTTAATACCTGCTACTAATCCCGCGCGCTACGTATTATATCACAAACCTAGAAACGCATCTTCCTCTTCGCGATACACTGGGTCCTTGAAACTTAATGCATTCACCAATTCCGCATGAGTCAAAGGATGAGTTCGTAATTGTACCATACGCTTCGTAGTCATAACCTGTATTGTAATACAAAAAAATAAAGCAACGTTAAATTAAAGATAATAATGTAAGTACTGATAACATTGATGTTTGTAATTCAAATCAGTCACCTCGTCGATCGCTGCTAAAATATTTCCTATCGTGAAACCATCGCACGCTTTAGCCATAGCTGACGTATCAAATTGCCGGCTAATACCCGAATACTAAACATTTTTGATATATGAAACATTTTTGGTATGTAAATAAAAAGTAAATTATTTTGATTTTATTTGACGAAACTATTTATTGCATCTAATAATTATTTGAATTGCAATAAGTTAAAATTGGGTGATTATTATCGAATGAATATATGAATATTAATAACGATTCTTTTTAAACCACAATTCGTGAAATAGGAATTCAAATACTTTACACAACTCACTTTGTACAACAAATCTTTCCATATAAAAGACACAGTGCCGTAATCTGGTCTAGGAATGTATATAACTTTATCATAAGTTTGATATAAAAGTTTTGGATCGCCGTCCCAAGGCTTATTAGATATCCCAATAAACAAAACTGCGTCTTCATTCGTGATATTCTTCACCAGTTTTGGTAAATCTTTTCTCAAACGTTTCGGATCGGTCTTATCTGTTTTCGCTACTTTCTTTACAAATGGCTTTTCCGCGTCATCCATGAAGATCACTGATGGCTGCAGTAATCGCGATACCTTCGATAGCAGGGAATTATTTAGTATTCACAATATTGTTCGACAGAAGGTTACTTTTTTACAGATATTATGATCAAACTATTTCTAAGAATCGAATATTAACTGCACCGAAGCTAAAATAAGTAATTGTAGGTAATGTTATTATTTGCGAGGAAACGATCTCAAAAACCTTATCCCCCCCCCCCACCTCACCCCTCCTGATTTTGATAAGCTTTGGTAAATAAATATTCGAGTACTGCAATTTTAATATAGAATAATTTTCGAAAATTGAATTGTGCGGAGCACACATACCGATTAACAAAATGTCTCTTAAGGGCTTTAATACGAACCTTTGAGATTAGGTGAACGAGCATAATCAAACCCGACTTGCCGGGATACTTGCCAGCGATATTCGCCGGCGTAATGTCGAAGAGCGTAGCTCCAAGTTCCGTACAGATCGCGTTCACCAAGAGTTTTTTGCCGCTGCCGTGCGGACCGGCTATCAAAACTGATCTTACGAGAGGTGTGAGTTCTCTCAAGATTTGGTTGCCCAGCGGCAGTATGCAGTATTCGACAATTAATTGCCTAATGTCGCCTGATAATTTATAATTAATTATAAAAGATACTTTAGATCGATTTGGAAATAATTTGAGATTTGTGCAAATTTCGAAAAGAATTTTTTTAACGAAAATATCGAGAGAAAGAGAGAGAGAGAGAGGAGAGACTTATTGTTGCAAATATTGAAAATGCGAATTAAGTTAAATGAAATAGTGTTACGTATTTAAATGTACCGAGTGTCGGAAAAGGATCTTTCTCCTTCGCACGAAGATCGTGGTTCGCAAAAGACTTTTCACCCTTAAACTCGTCTAGCGAAACTTCACGGTGAAGCTTAATAATTCCTTGCGTGAGAAGCTCCTCGAAAAGGGACTCGGTCGTTCTGTCGGGTGTCAGGTCTTTCTCCTTTTTCCTCTTATTTTTTTTTCCGCTCCTGCGAACTCGCTTCTGAGGTTTTTTCGCGCGTTTCCCTTTGAGACCTTTGTCTCTATCTAACGCAAGCTGAAGAGCCTCTATATCGCCTAATCATATCGTATTATTATACCAGTTGTACAGATGTCGAAAAACTTGTGCTAATTTAAATAAATATAACTTTAATAGAACAACATTGTATAGGTAATTCTTTGCAATTCTTTGTAATAATCAATACAACAGGATGGGTAACCTATATCGAATCGTATATCAAATATTTTAGAAATTTACACGTAAAATAATGTTATGTATATATGTATTTTTTTCTTTTTCAACAAATACAATAAAATTAAGAACATTTTAGGGCAAAAAAAATTTTAATGAGAAATAATCTTTCTTAAATTGACTGATCGAGATTCGTGTGTCGTTTTCAACTTTAGTCTTGCTTATTCTTTCTTAAGGAATATAGTTCCATCTACCTCTCATCGCTTGATCCACAACTGTTCTGACCTCGTTCTCGATTTCCCTCGTCTTCTCCGCTTCTATTATATCGTGATAAGGTAACTGCATCGGATTCGCGGATTCGTCCTTGTCTTTCCAAGCGTCCTGATACTCTTGATTTGCATGGATCAGTTCCGGCAGAAAATTAGAGGGGACAGATTTGAATCCTAGATCCGTCTCGTCCTCCGACTGCTCCGTTTCGCTATCTTTCTTCGATTTTGAACGTTTCGATTTCTTCGAGTCTTTCGATGATATCGCCGTGGACTTACTCACGGTACTCTCGGTCCCCTGTATCAAGAACAAAGCGCGCAGAGTTAAGTGTATTGTCATATATTCCTTCAAATTTTGTTACATACAAATGCAAACTAAACACATTCGATTATGAGAATAATATACAAAATATCTTATGTTAATTATGGATTTGATAATCACTTTATTACGTTTTCGTAATATATAAATAATTTAATTACTTAAAAAAAATGAGTCATCTTGAAAATTGATGCAGCAATTCAATTTACGTACATACATGCACGTTTATTAATTCTTAATCTCTATATTCTCTCTCTATATTATATGCGCGCGAGTTTCATACTTGTTTGCGTATCAATATAGATATAATCAAAAGATATACTTCACTTGTCTGCTGAAAATCATTCGCGAACCTCCGCTTTCGGCGGATGGTAAGTCGGGTATCTTTCCGGTTTGTTGAAAATACGTGTCAATCCAATTTCGAATTTCACTCCTTATGTTTTCTTCCATAATAGCGCTTCTCTCCTTGCGAATTCTCTCTGTGGCCTCTATAATCAGATCTTCGTATTGCTGTTGAAAATTCAGTTGCTTTTCGTATCTCTGTTGTTTCAGTCTCTCCGCCTGTCTGGCACTCTCTGTGATCACTTGACTAGGTTGTAGCATTCCTTTCGACAGAATTGACACGTTGATTCGTATCGACTAGGAGACTATAATTGTAAGAGAGACGAGAATAGCGAGTATTCCCTATATATACTTATCGCGTTTCTCTCTATTGCGAAACGGATATTATATAAATCTAAGCGTTTACAGAGAGTGAAATTAATATAATATAAAAATAAATTTTTAGAATGTCTATTTTTATTTATTTTTCTGTCTTTTCAAAAGGGCCGACAGAGACTAGGGAGATTTATATGGATATTACGACTAAAAAAAGGAATCTATGCATCTTAGGTGATTTGGGAAGCACGCATTTTTATAAAAACAAAAAGAAAAGATCGATAAATCCAACAATTCCTGCGTGCTTCTCAAATCGTCTAAAATGCATAAACTCCGTTAGCAAACGCATACATACGTGGAAAATAATCTAGTTTTACTTATCAAATGGAAAAGTCAACGTGGAAACGATATCGCGATTATTTCTTATTACCTATAAGTAACATCTCCTCAAGGCGTCTCTTGCGAATGTAGCATCTAGTGATATATCCTTTCCATACTTTCTGAATTTTTAGTGCCGCGAGTCTCTCGCTCACTTTATCCTTTTCTTCCACTTCTGTCTTAGTAGTCGATTTTTCTTTCATTTCGCGAACTTCTTTCATAAATTGATACCGCAGTCTACCTTGTCTCGCTCGTTCATGAGCCTGAAGAATTAAAATCATTTACAGACAGTTTGGAAAGTATCTAACAATAAGTCTTAGGATATATAGATACGCGGATGTTTTTGTGACACAAGATTTATATTATATAATATATTAGAAAGGCTAGAACGCACGGCAATCGCATAATGCAGATGGTGGAGTTTGATTCATAGTAAACATTTATTCCATATTTATCCAAATGAGAAAAATAAAAAACAAAAAAGATTTTTCTAAGATATACATAAATAATATTTTTATTCTATTTCACTGATTTGCAATTTATAAAAAAATAATAAAAAAATGTTAGTGTACATATAGTTCTTTTGTGAGTAAAAAGCTTTACTGGAAAAAGGGGTACGCGCTCGAGACCGAAGCTTCGTCCAAGTTATTAGATCGATCCGCCAATCGTAAACATATGACGAATATTAAAATGAATTTTTTTCCAATCCATCCGTACGGACATTTAGCCATTTAGTCTGTTGTATAATCGCATCTCAAGACTCCAGCCAGGCATATTCGTGTCAGCTACAACTCTGTTTTTGAAAATCCGTCTCATAGTAAAGAGGATCAATTTGATTGTTAACCGAGTCTTTCTGGCAGATCGCGCGAGATACCTGAATAAGTCGTATAGCTTGAGACTCGGTAATTTTTCTGGGCGCAACAATCTCGTGAAGCGCGCCCAGATTTCGGAGCGTATCCTCGATGAATTTCCGTCTCCTTTCGATCTCCGCGATTCGATCGCGTCTGTAGTAACTCGGTATCCGGATCTCGGCCTCCTGCGGTGTCACGCCACATTCAATTAGCGCGTCGTCGTAATAGCTATACTCCGAGAGATCAATATTGACCAGCTCGTGCTTCAGCTCCAACACTCTGCCCAGAGTCGCGTCCAACGATCTCTTGATCAGCAGGCGCTTCTGAGGCTGTATCACTTGATCGTAACATCGCTCGAGCTTGTTACACGCGAGGATATATTTTACGTACAACATCGAGACAACATCGTGCGCCTTTCTACGATCCTTTTGCGGCTTCGCACCTTGAAGCACCGTATCCGTCTGAATCGTCTCTGTCAGCAACATTTGGCCCGCTCTCCAAAGCTCGTCGTACGTCGCGCTCGACATTCTTCGTCAAGAGCAATTTCCTCAGCAGAGACCTCGAGAGATCGAGCGCAATCACTTTGCAAAATTGTTAGCCATTTACGATTACCGACAATCCGTCGTGCCGGGCGGGTTACCTAGCAATGGAATTGTTTCGTTTGTTGCGTGGCGCGTGGCGCGTGGCACGTGCCACCACTGCCGCCCCGCTCGTGCCGCACGTGCAAATTGTGTACATATACATACGTGCAATAGAGATTATCGCGATTGATAATGACGGACAGGCGGAAGAAATTTCGCTGTTGAAATTCATTTACCTGCGTATTTTTAATCTTTTTTTTTTTTCTTTGACTGATGATCGAATCATTGAAATGTATAAGTGAGAATGAAGGAGGAAAACATCAGGGAAATAAACTGCACGAATTTGTCTAATATTGGAATCTGCTGCACTAATGAGAAAGAAATTATTTATAATCTCTTAATGAGATTGACGTACGATATAAAAAAACGACGTAAATTTAATTACTTTTCCGTTCGCTTTCCGTTATATATTAAATTGGTTATACATTTAGTACGACTGAGAGAATGATTAAATACGTATTGAAAAATCAAATGTATATATACATATACATATATTATAGATATATGTGTATTATACATATTTGTATATACATTTTTTATCTATATTTCTTTATTTAAAAATATCCATCGATCATTATTTAAATAAAATATATATTTTTATCATCTATCATATACATATGTATATTATTACGATTATATATATTTACGATCGTTATATAGTTTACATGAAATTTATATATTATCGTCAGTTTCGAATTTGAAACTTTGCGCTTTCGCCGCGCGAGGTCATTAACATCTGGAATCCGGAATTATATTCCTTCTCGCTAGCGTTCCACGTTCCGCCGCGTTCCGCCGCGGGTTCCACGGGTTCCACCTTCGTAACCTCTGTTTCAAAACGTCATTTCAGCATTTTCTTTTCAGCTCGCGAGTCAGTGACCAGTGTTTGCTCGCGAATGTGTAATCTCTGTTGGTAGGCGATCGCCAAACGTTGACCGAAGGTGATGATAAGAGAGCATCTGCAGTAATGGCATCGGCATTGGAGCAATTTGTAAATAACGTTCGAACGCTTTCGAAGCAAGGTATGTCCGACTCTCCCGGATACATATTGTGTGAAATATCGTGCAACTTAACCTCAAAACGCAAGAGCAAAAAGCGAAGCGAAACGTGCGAAGCCTTCCTAAGTAGTAGAGTTTCTCTTGAAAGAAAATCTTTTATTTTCCTTTAAATTTGCTTTGTATTTCATGTTTTTAAAATAATAGCTCAAGATATAACATTTGGATAACAAAAGAATTTCAATTTTATGTTACCACTGTACATAACCTGTTTGCATATACAGGCAATTTTAGAGAATTATATGACATTATAAGCAAAAGTGTCGAAGTATTGACGAAGAATGGCCAACATTTGGACAATGTTTTGGAAACATTGGATTTGCAGCAACATTCGTTAGGTATCTTGGCAGTGCTCTGTGCAAAATTTTCACTGCCTAATCCTAACGGCGGGAATAACTCTGATGCGCATAAACTCTTGTTCAATCAGGTTCAAGAGTTTATCGTCGGCTGTAATGGAGAGCAAGTTAGATTTGCGCCAGACACATGTGAGTCTTCCCTTATGATTTCGATTAATTATGTTATTTAAAGCAATTATTTATTCCATATATAACAAATTTATTTTAACTGTAACTGCAAGAAATTGCTTGTCCTTTGCACTTGCTCATTCAAATTTAGTTATTTAATTTATTTTTCCATTTATTTTAATTTGTTAAAATAGCAAGTATCTGTATTTAATATGCTTGCGTTTGAAAGCTACTATTTTTGTACAATTTAACTAGTACATTTTATTTATTAAAAAGATTTTCAAAATTCAGTTATACATCAATTTTGTGTAACCTTAATAATTTTGGAAATTTTGTAATAAAAAAACAATACATATAATTACAGATTATAATTAGAATCCAAAATTGGCAAGAGACAAGTATTTGTGCTATATTTATCCACTGCATGCCTTTCTTACATTAAATATTTTATATTCATTTAAATATATATAATTTGTAAAAATTTTTAGTTTAATAAATGTTGAATTTTTCGAATCTATTAATTTTCTATAAATTCACGATCTGTATTTAATTGTCTAATTGTATTTATTCCTTATATGTGACATAATCGAGTTAATAAAATTCTCTTTATAGACGCAGACTTATGTCACTTATTTACCCAGAGTTTAGTCGAGTCAAAAACGCCATTACGTGGAATCGAATTGCTGTGCCGCGCAATACGCAAAATACAACTCTTCGACAGTCAGTTAACCTCGATACATGCAGACCTTTGCCAATTATGTCTTCTGTCCAAGTGTTTTAAACCGGCGCTCGAGTTTCTTGACATAGATGTCACGGGAATTAGTCAGGAAGGAGGCCAGTTTGACTCAAAATATTTCCTATTGTATTACTATTACGGTGGCATGATATATACAGCATTAAAGAATTACGATCGGGCGTTGTATTTTTTCGAAGTGTGCGTGACGACGCCCGCGATGGCAGTTAGCTACATCATGCTGGAGGCCTACAAAAAGTACATTTTGATCTCGCTGATATTACATGGGAAAGTGTTGAATCTACCGAGATACACGAGCCAGGTGATCAACAGATACATCAAGCCGTTGAGCCAGCAATATCAGGAATTGGCTACGGCCTATCTGGTTAATAGCTGCGAAGAAGTGCAGAGTATTATTACTAAATATCAACAAGTATTTATGAGGGATCGCAATCTGGGACTCGTAAAACAAGTGCTTGCTTACTTGTATAAGAAAAATATACAGAGGCTGACCAAGACCTTCCTGACGCTTAGCTTAAGTGATGTTGCGAGCAGAGTTCAGTTATCGGGACCTGCCGAAGCGGAAAAATATATTTTAAACATGGTGAGTTTTTGTATCATCGCGCACTATATGTATAATAAATATCTGAAAATCGTTGATCAATCATCTTTGATAAATTAGTAATTTCTCACATTAAGATATTTTCTTTCTTCTTAGTTTAACGTAGTTAAAACTATGTTAAAACTCAGTTGAAATGAATGATAAAATTTTCTTTGATATCAAGCTAAAAATTAGTTTCATTTTTTTTTTCTCAGTTATCAAAGAATTGCTTTTATCCTTACGATTTTGTTAATAAAAAAAAAAAAAAACCATTGCGATTTTCCTATTATAACAAATAAAGATTTGTCTCTAAAGTTAGCTAGTATACCATGGAACACTTTACGCACAATATACATACATATTGTGTAATATATCTGTAACATGTAAATTAATATTATTTATTAACGATCTTTATGTATTTTTAGATCGAAGATGGCGAAATTTTTGCAACTATTAATCAAAAAGATGGGATGGTAATATTCCACGATGATCCTGAAAAATATAATTCACCACAAATGCTTGCAAATTTTGAGAAGGAAATGGCAGCATGCACAGAACTAGATAAACGAGTACTGGAAATGGAAGAGGAAGTTGTCCTTACCCCGCAATACGTTCGTAAAGCTTGTGGGCAAAACGATCAGGACGATCAAGCCGCTGGACCTGCACCAACAAACGTTACAAACGCGCAAGGTCAAATTAAACAAAACACTTACTCTATGTAACATATACATGTCGTTGTGTGTTATCTTTATTAAAAAATGAGAAATCATGAAAAATCTTGTTGAGAGTCAAGACTTCAATATCTGAAAGCTTGTTTTTTGAATGATAATAATTAGGAAATATTTTCGCGACTTGAAGGTCGCCTATTTTGTAAACAATTTACGAATAAGAATTCTTTTATATATATATATATATAGGTTGAATTAAGTTATAACGATATATGTATATACATGTTACAGAGATTTTATGTTATTATCATTATTATTTTCTAACAATACAGGTTGATTATACTGTAATATTATAGTAATTACTCACAATTTATAACTTCGTAAAATAGCAATCATACATAATCATTCATTTATCAAAATCTCTGTAACATAATTTGAAACTAAGTTTATATAAATTCATGATTATCCGTATCAAATGGTTAAAATCTTCTTTAAAATATTCTCACGACATGCGCATTGTTATAAAATAATAAATAATTCATTTTGTACAAGATAGTTTCAAATTGCTAGTCAGCTTGTAATATATCCAAAATTTGGTAAAATGCTTCGTTATTAAAATTACTCTATACGTGCTGTAACGATGAAAATTTATATACAGCAATATTTTCTTGTAAATTATTATACTTACTTCTAATATTACTTAAAGATTCAGTTTTATATATATCTGCATATATGTATACAAGTTGATTGGTAAAAATATAAAACGTTAAAAGTAGATACAAGCGCGCGCGCGCGCACACACACACACGCGCACACACACACGCACACGCACACACACACACACACACACATTAAGAAAATTCTACGGAAAAATATCAAGAGCTTATAAATTATTGAAATTTTTTAATTTGCAATATTAAATATCTTTACAATGTCCATTTCATTTTTTATATCTTTCAGAATGTGTAAAACTTCTCTTTTTTTTGTTTCAGGCTGATGATACTTATATAATTTAAATTTAATCATAAGAAGAGTTAAATTGAGTTACTTTTTTTAGGATAATAATTGATCGATTTCCTTGGAAACCATTTCATAAATTTCTCCCATATCCTTGGATCCATCGATAAATGTTATAATTTCATGCACTTGGTTGTTTCGTAGAACTTCATTTTCATACTTAATAAATTCGGGCCACACTGTCTTTTCAAAATATCCTGGTACATCAGGCGGATCATATATACGGTTTTTTCTTCGTTCCCAACATTGCTCTTTTGTCAACGTTAAAAAGTATTTACGATCACATAGGTTTGCAATGGCCTTATGTTGAAAAAGCAAAAAACCATCCAATATCAATAGCATCTTCGAATTCGTTGCATTTTTTCTGGGAGATTGAAGTGTTTTTACAACATCCGAATACATTTTCTGCATATTTAGGCTCGTTATTAATTCCCAATTCATGTGGTTTAATTCCTGTATTTTAATGTGACGTGGATCGTCCAGTGGCAAAAAATAATCATCTTGACGCACCATAACAGACGTTGGAAAATTGTCACAGATCTTATCAGCCAACGTACTTTTTCCACTACAAGTTGCTCCGGATATACCAACGACAAACCACTCCTTCGACATTTTTAATTTGCCAGTTCTGTAGCAGTGCTCAACGTAATGTACAAAAGAGAGATACAGAAAAGCTTATTTTATTGATTAGTTCAGAGTGAACTTGACAAGATGTAGCATCCATGAGAGATATTATATAACTAACATTCATGCCGTTATGGCGTTCATATTCATGCATGTGCCACGAGTTGTATGTATGAGTATTATATAACGTAGCGTATGATGACTCATTACAACGATAACATCCAATATCACTGCACGTTCTGATAACTTGCTAGTAAATTGCTACTCTACTTTCTCTATTCTATGGAACAAGTATGGTTTCACATGATACACAGTAAAGAGTATCAAACCACCGATGAAAATTAGTCCGAAACTCGCGGGAATTATCAGAGCTAAATCGTGCGAATAAAAAAGAGATCTCAATCTATCATCGTCGATGAACGGCAAACCGATTACCCACACGGTATAATACAGAAATAAGACAAACGTCAATATTAATATCGCTTTTCCTTTTTGACGATCGCTGTTAAACATCATTGGTCATTCCTATATTAATTTTTACAGTTTGCACTATTCCTTATTAAAATTATACATTGCGCTATTCCTTACAATTCATTCCACATATTCTTGTTCAAATTTCCTGAAATCTTCTTCCGTGAAAATTGTTTCTTCTGATTTCTTAGGTTTTTCCTGTTGAATGTATCTCTTTCCTACAGCACGTTGCAACAGCTAAAAAAATATTTCCAAAACATGTACATTAATTGCAACAAGTCTTTATTTAAAAAATTATCTCTTTAGAATTTTAAATAAATATTTAAATATCTTTACACATCATAGAATCCATATCTTTAGATTATATGTGTAGCGCATAAAAGAAATATAATAAAGATTAAAAAGATCTGTTGAGATTCATAGAAACAAGATATTGATAAAAAATGAGGGAAATGCAGAACAAACAAGTTAATAAAACATAATTTCTCATACGTTATTTGCTGTCTCAGAATCTATCCGATTACTGCTAAGTAAAAGGAGTCGTTGTACATTTTTGTTGGTAGGATCTTTTTGAATAGCTAAGCGTTTCTGAGTCTCATAAACGGTAGTTTTGCTGGATCGGCCCAAAATAGTATCGAGATCTATAAGAAGAAAATATATGATTTTATTTACTTCTTAATGCATCTATTCATATATATATATATATATATATTTAATAATACAATTTATGAGAATACATTAAAATGATATAATTAAATAATTTATTATAATTTTTTATAATCTATAATAATAAAAAATTTTGTATGGAATTCATCTGTTAGATGTATCATTGCATGTGCTTAAATGATCGATTCGCTAACCTGTCTTATCGTTTTTAGAGATGATTCTATGTTTAGTGGGAATTAGATCCAACACTCCTTTATATCCAACAGCCTTACGTTTCTTCTTCTTATTTTGTTCTACAAGGATATTTGTTATTTGAAATAGATGTATATACATACATACATATGCGTATCGTTTTTGTAAACACATACACATGTGGCCTGGCCACAATAAACTAACCTTTCTGCAAATCTTTTTCGTAACCCAACAACTCTAAACTTTTATGCACGAGTGAGTTAGACATTTCTCTGAATATGTCACTGTAACTTAATTATTTATATAATAGTGCAGATTATTTGTTAAATTACTAAAAAACATTATTATATTATCCAAATGTGAAACGCAAAGTCCTGAATTCAGATGAGTCAGATCAGAGAAGCGCAAACTGCACAAATGGCGTTTCGCTTCCTGATTGGCTGACAGCACTCAGCAGCCATCAATCAAAACCGAGGGTATTAGGCTTGGAGCACATGAAATGCATAAGAATGCCGTTCCATGGCAGAGATTTTCACGTAACGCGTATCGCGTAACCAATCGGAAGCGTTACGCGTTTTCTGTTACGCAAAATTTTACGTAAAAAAATTATGCCTCTGATTGATTACGCAATACGTGTTACGTGAAAAATCTTTGCCATGGGACGGCACCCTAAATGACGGTCCACAACAAGCCTGGTATCGTAAGATATTGACCAATTAGATTCCACGAAGCATATCCTATCATCGCACAGCACACACTCATGCACATATACAGCATTCCATGGCGCACTTACATATGTGTGTGTTACAGCTGTGTGACAGCCGATATCGCTCATATGTAACGAACATGGCGGAATCTACGAATAATTCGGAGGATGACCGACTGTCATGTAAAATCTTGATTATTGGTGCCGGTATGGCCGGACTGTCTGCAGCAACTCATTTGTTGAAGAATAGCGAGACGGATTTTCTTATTGTCGAAGCGCGCGGACGTATAGGTGGACGAATCATCGCGGCACAAGTCGGTACGATCAGTTTAACCTGTCCTTATCGTGACAAAATATTTTACTCGCTTTTAAATTTATTTACTCTGTGATATAACAGTTCAACCAATTCTACAATTATAGTAGCAATATACTAGGCAATTTAAAATACCATTTAATTTACCTTTATAACTTTTCAATATGTACAAATTCTTGTCAATTATATGACGAAAACGGAACTAGAATTCGTACTTAAAAAAATATATATATCTCAATTTTTCGAAGCAAATATATTTGAGATGGATCTTTCTTGTAGGATCATTGATCAGAATGTACAGTTGTGTCAGCAGGAAAATGTGATTTATGTACTTGGTAAACTTAAAAAAAAAAAAAAAGAAAATATTTTTTGTTAGTCTTTTGTGAAAAAATTTGTTATTAATTGTGTATTTTATTATTTTTTATAACAAAATAATTGTATTTAAAAGTCGGAAGCGACAGAGTATAATATATTGACTCTGTTTCCATATAGAAGCCCATGGATATGTTTTTTTGCTATTATTATTTTAAGAAAATGCTAAAACACTATCATTATACAGAAAAATAATAATTTATTTTTGTCTGTCTCATCGTAGGCAGCGAAAAAGTTGAGTTAGGAGCAAACTGGATTCATGGAGTGTTAGGTAATCCCATGTTTGAACTGGCGATGGCAAATGGTTTAATAGACATTGTACATGTGCCGAAACCTCATAAAGTAGTGGCAGCATTGGAAGATGGAAAACAGTTGCCGTTTCCCGTATTGCGAGAGATTTACGAAGCTTATGTATGTTTTTTGAGACGTTGCGAAGAATATTTCCTGAGCACGTACAGTCCTCCGGATGGTATTACCAGTGTAGGGGCACATATTGCGCTGGAAGCGGAGATATATCTGTCCTCTTTGCCACCTGAACAACGAAGAATAAGACAATTGATCTTTAACTGTTTACTCAAGAGAGAAACCTGCGTTACGGGCTGCGACAGTATGGACGACGTAGATCTCTTGGAAATGGGCTCTTATGACGAACTTCAAGGTGGTAATATCAGTCTTCCCAACGGGTATAGCGCTATATTAGAACCAGTTTCGAAACACATACCAAAGGATCGAATTCTTACCAAGCATGTTGTAACAAAGATTAGGTGAGCCCTCTTACAGTAATTATTCATATAAAAAGCATGCATCAATTTGATTTATTATGTAACAAAGACTAATATTTACTTGTTATTTATTTATTTATTTTAGGTGGCAGAAACAAAAATGTTATCAAGACAATGTTGATCTTACGGAAAAATCGGAATCAAATAGCCTTATAGAAGTACAATGTGAAAATGGAAAGACGATTATCGCGGAGCATGTAGTTTGTACATTACCGTTGGGCGTTTTGAAAAGGACAGCTCAGGACTTGTTTGAACCGCCGTTACCAGCATACAAGCTTGAAGCAATAAACAGACTGATGTTCGGTACAGTGAATAAGATATTTCTCGAATACGAACGGCCTTTCCTAAATCCCGGTGTGTCAGAAGTAATGCTTCTCTGGGACGACGAGCGATTATCCGAGGTGGAGAAGCGGGACATTAGCAAGACCTGGTTCAGGAAGATATATTCGTTTATTAAAATTTCGGACACGCTACTGCTCGGTTGGATATCCGGTCGCGCGGCAGAGTACGTAGAAAAGCTGAGTACCACGGAAGTGGCAGAGGTGTGCACGAAAATCCTGCGGCGATTCCTCAATGATCCTTTCGTACCGACCCCAAAGAACTGTCTGCGCACCACGTGGCAATCTCAACCTTATACGCGAGGTTCTTACACCGCGATGGCTGTCGGAGCGAGTCAACTGGATATCAGGCGTTTGGCTGAGCCGTTAATTGAGGAGAAAACGGAAGACAAAACGGACGAAACGGTCAAAATTCTGGTGGCGTTTGCAGGTGAACATACTCATTCCTCATTCTACAGCACAGTACATGGTGCATACTTGACTGGTCGAACAGCAGCTGAATTACTCTTGGGTACCAAACAGTGTGAGAAACACGCCTTGAGTCTTAGTTGCGAAGATACGAGCGATCTTAGTTCGTGGATTCAAGGCATTTCTTTAAATTAATGCATATTTTTTTCAAATAAGAAAATGACGATTAAAGACGTTTACAGACGTATTTAGTCATTATATATACGCGTTTACACGTTTGTGCAATTGTTTTTTTTTTTGTGTAAATACTGCAGTGAAACAGCCGTCATTTTACATCATGTACATAATGGTGCTTCTTAAGATTTTAAGACTACAGTTACATGTGGATAACATGTGCATTTATAATGTCGTATTCTGTTAAGGAATAACGAATCAAATTTAGGTAGGACACCGAAACTATATGTCTGTGTATTAGCGACATCGTGTACGATGTCACAAATATACATTCGGCAAAAAGATTTGCGTTTAGATGTAAAAATATGTTGAAAATGATGACGAGTCGTACGCGCTCGTGTTCATATAAACTTTCATTTTATAAAACCGAGCGATATAATGTTATTTGCTAAACTTGTGTAGATAATATATTGAATCGAATTCAAAGACAAGCCTAATACTAAGTATTTGCGCGAAATGTAATGATATTTCTAACGGTTAATCTTTTCGTGCATGTACGTATGCGTGTACGTGCGCGCATATATACATATATATATATATATATATATATATATATATACATATGTATATATATGTATACGTACATATGTATAGTGAATTATTAATGAGATTTGTAAAGAAATATTTCTTTTGAAGTGCATCGTACACTTTTTATTCTCAATTTTCTCGTACGCATTTATTTTCAGATACGAATTATTCACTTGCTTGACTTCTTATCTATTACACGTTGTACCTATTGTTTTATAAAGAAAGTTCCATTATGGACAAACTTAATCTAGTCATTGAAATTTAGATACATAAAAATGTATTTGGAAAATAATAAATTATATCACTTACAATACTGAAACAGTTCTATAAACTAGAACAGGCATTTATGTATGTATTTTACGTTTCCAGCGATTACGTGCCATAATTGAATATTGAGTATTAATATATTAACCTTTAAAATATTAAATGAACGAAGCAGATACGAAACGTCTATCTTTCTGAAATAGCCCAACTATAATATTCATAAGTTATTTATTTAATTAATAAAAATAAAAGTTATTGTTTTTATTAATAAATATGTTGCGCTTTTTTGTTTATATTTTTTTACATTAATTAATAATCTTTACATTTATGTGGAGTAAGATGATATAATTTTTTTATTTGAAATATCAAATTTATCTTATCAAGTTCTTTAGATTATTTAGATTATTCCTCAGTTCTTTAATTAGAACATACATGTTAATAATATTGGTTAACGCTACAATCGTATTGATTTTTTGATCATATTGACGAAAAAAATATCAACTGTATAATTGGTATATACATTTTTACATTATATATATATATATATATTTCATAAAATATGTTTTACTTCTTTCGTTATAGTTATGAATATGTATATTTTTATGATCTCATAACTATTTTTAACTAAATAATTTCTTGATATTGTTATCAAAGATACAATTCACAAGAGAAAAATTCTCACATTTTTCTTTATTTAAACAATAGCTTATAATTATAATTTATACAAAGTATATATACTATATACGATAATAGTATAATATAATAATAATTATTATAATGCCACACACATATATATAAATAATTTTTTGTTATAATAATTATTATTATTATTTTGAGTACTACAATAATTTTGTAGCACATAAATTGATGACACATATTCTGTTGTCTACAATAATATTAAGAATAGTATATTAATTCATTATTCATAAAACATTATTCAACATTTTTTATTCTTATGGCTAAAAATAATATTTTTATCTTACAGATGATAATTTTATATCAATTTAGACAGGATAAAAAGAGATAAATATTTACATTCCTTTGTCTAAAACCATTAGTCGTTTATATAGCACTATATCTGAAAAACATACTTTTTTTTATTTATTTGACATATTGCCTTTTATTTATCTCTTTTATTTATTCTAATTAATGTATAACATATAAAATTCATATTTCTTTATATGGTTAAATTTAAGCATGTCCATTATATATCAACAATCGGCTACATCAAAAATCAAAGATGTAATCAAATACATTCGATCACTTAACTATTATAATGCTATAAATTATCACACTCATTTGTGATAAAAAAAACTAACATCGATTAATTTTTAACAGCTCTTTTATCGCGTGAGCAAAAAAATCTCGCGTAAGTAGACGTACCAATTTTTACTATCCGCGATATTTGGAATGACCTGGGTAAGTCATCTCCAACTTTGTACGTTCATGTAACGACGATTGATGAGTAATGACGCTGAAGTAAAGCGACATTGATATCTTCTCGGGATACAAAATACACATTCTTACGTGAAGTTCATAATTCGATATTGGAACCGCTGCGACGAACATATCGATTGAAGTAATCCGGTCGCCAGCATTTACAGCTTCCCGGTACCAAGAACCAATCGTAGTAGAGTCGTACCTAAAGGGGAGGATGACAAAGATAGAAAAAATGAATAAATCTCCTAAACAATCATTTACTATTGTATAAGTGACTATTTTACAAGTCGAAATAAGAGATATCAGTTGATGTCGCAGAGAAAAATTTTAGAGAAAGTTATAAATTTTAAAAATCAATTTTGGAAACGCATAACATAGCTAAATGTGCTTTGTAAAAAGTGAATGAACTTTGATTGCTGAAATTCGAATTGTAACAATTCAGAGTAAGTGCATGAGCGTAAGTGAGATAAGAAAAGCAAAGCTGTATTATTGTTCTTACTTGGAAGCAACCCATTTCGTCGACACCATCACAGTGATGTTGCTGAGCACCACCATTGTTACGCGCTTCCCCCGTGCTCGCACGTTTCTGCAAATATTGCTGATAATTTTGAAAATCGTGAACTGGTGGTGGCGATACAGCGACAGGATCTCGAGTACCAGATCCGATACCGGAACTTTGATTTTCCTCTAAGAACGTGTCCGGGTAAAATATTTCAGCGACCAATAGACTCGTCCATCTTGGCGATGATAAGCATCCACCGTCCAAGTAATGGCATCTCGATTGCCTGTAATGGTGCAGAGGGAAATACTAGCTTGAAAAATACTACCTCTAAACCTTAGATGATTACTGCAAATTCAAGTATGATTGGAATCCTACATGCATCTGGTGAGTTCGATCGTCTGCGTAAAGTAACCTTCGTAAGGTATCTGCACCACGTATCTCCAGACACCTTGATAATTTTTAGCGAAGACCGGAGTCGCGTATTCAACCTTAGCTGGGCATGGTGTCGGCGGGCCCGTATATTCCGTTTTTTCCTGCGATGCAGGTACGCGCTCTCCTCGTCGATAATCGGACGTCGAAGGTTCATCCCGACGTTCGATGACCGATGCCGACGGCGCGATCGGTTCGCCTTGAATAGCTTTATATAACATGCACACTCTGTTCGCCAAAAAGAAACAATTACATTATTACACGTTAACGTCTAAGGAAACGATAATTGTCTCATTTAAGGATCCTTCTATCTTCTTCCTTTCTGAAAAGAAATTCATCTTTATTTTCAAAAAACTGATATCATTTAATTGAAAATTATCTCGATTCTTCGATAGGTATTTCAGGAAAGGGAAAACTGATATCAAGTTCCTTAAAGAATTTGCAATTAAAAATAGTTGGAATCAATTACGTGATGACTGTTTATATAATTGCCTAATAATTACAAATCTAATATGCATACATTAAATTTGAAAGTTTTAAAACTTTTAGAGCAGTGAAATATACTTACACTCCGCTACCGTTTTCGCAAAATTTGCGACCATGTCGATTGGAGTCTGTAATTAAAGTCGAATCCAATAGACTGGATCTTTTGCTTCTACTATGTTTTTCTTCTTCATCGGCCGTATCAACTCTACGCGAAGAGAGATTGTTAGATAATTCGATATGTTGAATTAGTGTATCTAGAATATGGCAAAAATTAAATCTACGTAATACCTGAGAATGCCTTCGGACTACTTACGAATTTTGCGACAATGGATGCACTTTGGCGACCTTTGGCAGTGAATCGTCAGCCTTGAGGATCGGTAATGCTTTACTGAGGAACTTGAGAGTATGATTCTTTATCAGTGCGCTATGGAACAAAAATTCCAAATAGTTAATTTAGATTAATGCCGCGATCTGAATATATTGAATATTGACTTTACTTAATTTATCTCTCACTTACAAAGGATACGACGAGCCATTTACATATTGGTTCATTGGATTTCGTGGAATGTAACCTTTGTTCAAGTCTCCGCAGATATTATGTATCGAAACGAATCCTTTTCCATGCTTATCGTTACCTATAGAAAATAGAATATAAATGATAAATATAAAATATATCGTTTGTATCGAGAATCAGGGTGTTCGGTAAAAATCATACAATGATTTCTTTAATTATAAAAAATGTGGATTTTTAATTATGAAAAATCGATAATAAATACGAGATGACTCTCTTGTAAATAGTGAGAAAAATAGCGGGTGTTAAATGCCATTATAAGAAGAGTATCGAACCATCGATATAACAGTTTTTGATAATAGTTAATTTTTAGGCTTCGCTTTGCTCGTATTCCAGACCTACCATAACATTCCTTATCGCTGTCAATATAGGGCGGTGGCCGAACTCTGGGTGGTTCCGCGTTTGGTGATTCGACGAACGCATAATATCCCTCCGGAGGTTCTTCCGCTCGCGTGGACTCGTTGTCGTTGACAACCGGTTTGGTATTTTTGGATTTGTCGTCGGCATACGATGATGCACACAAGAGAATCATCTAAACGATAATAATGATATTTTCTTTTCACAAAAGAAAATAATTACCTATACATGTATCAATCATTAACGGGTGTGCATTAATGGATACATAGATATATAACTTGTAAATGTCCTGCATGCAAGCATTTCTCTCCTTTTTGTCCAAAAATTTTTAGTCTGTTTTTTAATATTATTTTAATTATTCTAATTATATTTACTAAAAACTAAATTAACTGGAAGAAATCTGAAGAAAAACTCAACAATAATTCCCTTAGCTTCGATTTGAATTAATTTCTTTGAAACGAGACGCAAAAATTTAATAATTATACGTATATAATTAAGAGTATATTATCTAATTATATATATATAGGTATATATATATTTGGATTTTGTTGCAATCGATTCATATTCATTTCTTGATTTTTTTACTACAATGTCAGTCCTTTTTTATGTAAAATCTTTGCATGCAATTGTGGGTAACGGCTAACAGGTGTTACGTTACATCGCGTCGGCACCAACGATGATTACGAGATATTCCCTCGAGTAGTTACCGAGGTATGCGTACGATGCTAACGGTACACGGTCCACGGTCCGCGCTTCTCGCTGCGGGCTGTTCAGCCTATTTTATAACGTGCGTGTTACTCGAGCGTTGCCCTACTAACCGAGGCATTATACCGTTCTACTGACGAATCTTTTTTTTACACATTCAGAAGCTAACAACTTTGAGGAATAATACGAAGGTATACATACAAGTATGCTTACATGCATTTTTCTTCTTCCCCAACTCTCCCGATACATCCCTAAAGCATAGTTTACATTTACACAATTAGTTATACATTGCGAGTTTATCTATTGGATATAATATTTGAAGACTGAAAAAATATTTCTCATAGCAAATAACAATCTATCGATTGTCTTTTTTATTCTTTTCAAAGACGCAAAAAATATTTAATTCAAGTATAATAAAACAATCATAAATGATATGATTATAAAAATGTATAACCGCGAGATCAGTCTTATGTAATAACAACAGTATACATACTCAATAAAACCTATCGTCTTTTTAGGAAGTTGGAAATTCTACTGATTTCCATTGACGAAATAATATTAGATATCGGCAATATCTATATTTGTAGAATCATTTATATTTTACAATTTTGATTATTGTTTGATTAATTGTGAGTTGTAACACGTGATAGGCCGGCCGGTCTACTTTGCTTCCAACATACGATAGGAAGATGTATAAATTATTAATTAGCGATCCCTTATTAAAGCACGGTGCAGGTCAATGGAATTTGACAATCTTTAACGTAAGAATTCTTCCCGTCGCAAAAGGTGGATGTCCGTGCTACTTTCTTGCAGTAGATCCGAGCGTTAGGAAGTGCCGATACAGTTACGAGGACAATGACGTCTCCGAACCGGTATCGACAGAAACGGTAGACTCGATTTATTTGGCGGAGCACGGCCGTAGATCGTCGACGATCACGCAAATATTCGTCGTAAATTCTGTTTTGTTAAAAATAACGCGACTCAAAAATTGTAATTTCCATACTAACACTGTGATTTATTTGTATTAAATGACCTCAGATTATTTTTGTTTGATTGTCTGTCAGTTTTCAAGAAACAACTCTTCTCTCTCTCTCTCTCTCTCTCTCTCTCTCTCTCTCTCTCTCTCTC